CCCCCCTCCCCAACCATGTACAGTAGACAGAATGTTTAGCGTTTATAGGATTATTTATATTCAATAGAGCCAACCAACCATGAACTCGGAGCAGTTTTGCGAAAATGGACGTAAAATGGTGGACTACATAAGTACCTATCTGGAGAAGATCAGAGACCGCCATGTCGTACACAACGTAACCCCTGGTTACATGAGGCCGCTTCTGCCCACCGAGGCCCCACAGGATCCCGAGGACTTCGCTGAGGTCTTTAAGGATATAGACAAAATTATTATGCCAGGAGTATGTATTTTTTCAATTTTAAGATTGTTTTCTTATCTTTTAAGACAAAGTGTATGTACAAATTTTCACAACTCGACGCACTGCCTCTTTATAAACTTACCAAGTTCATATGTCATTATACCAGCTTTGAATGCAATGACCAACATGCTGATATTATCATATTATGACAGCATAATTGTAGCTTTGAATACCACTGATCAAGCCTTAAACATCGCTGTTCTATTTATTAAACAAGCGTACACGATATATAAACTTATTTGCACCTGATGCTAGATTTTGATAAATAAATCAACTGTTCTATGAGATCGAAATAACTTCATAAGAGTTCATATAATTATTTCAGTTGCTTATTCAGTATAAATGTCAACTGGACAGTGATGAATGCAAAAATAAAGCGCGATTCATGGGGTTCACCTCGGTTCAAGTTTTCATACATATTGACTATGAATGTCAACTGGAATCAGTACAATGCTATAATAATTTACCCTACTGGTGGAGGTTTTAGTCCCTGATATTTGCCCTAGCCTTACTGGTGGAGGTTTTAGTCCCTGATATTTGCCGTAGCCTTACTGGTGGAGGTTTTAGTCCCGGATGTTTGCCGTAGCCTTGCTGGTGGTGGTTTTAGTCCCGGATGTTTGCCGTAGCCTTACTGGTCACAATTATCTTTTTGCAGTAGTGGCACGGTTCATAACTTTATTAATGATTTAAAAAGAAATTCATTAGCACTTCTTTAAATCTTTAAATTAATAATTTAAGGGGTTTTACGCGATTGGATATCGAATTATTTGGTCCCGTCCATCACCGACGAGGTCTAGAAGGACGAGACGACTGTATGATGCAGAGTTAATCATTGTTTGGCTAACTGTATCTATTACTACATGTTAAAGGTGGAACCACCTGTGTTTGTACGTATGGTACGTTCATCTCATAATATCACGATGAACCGGAACAGTGAAATCTGCCTTAACGACCGCCTGTCTATCAAGGCCACCACCTGTTGAGTAGAATATACGGCCATAACTTCCGTCTATTGTAATTTACTATTTAGTGGTATTTCTAAACATTTTCTTCAGGTTGGTAAGTATGGATTATGAAAAGTTCTTTTTTACACAACCAATAACATTTTCTATGTGACGTTTCGATGACTAGTACGATATGTACACTGTCACCTTCATCAGACAAATGACCAGTGAAGCGTATGCACACAAAGGTGTAATAAAATGTGTACGAGTTGTCCACAACATCGATGTCGATTTCGGCTACGCTGTAAGCGTATGTACAATAGTTGTTATATATGAACCGAAATGACTCGATTCAGCTACGCTTTGTTTAATATTTGGTCATATATGTGCGAGAGTCTTTGAGCCCCCTCTCGTCTCGATTAAGAACGTGTCCACTGCAGCGTGTCCAGATGGTTTCCTTTATCTGCCGCTTGAACAGAATGCTCTCTCTGTCCAGTGTACATATCGTACTAGTCATCGAAACGTTACATAGAACATTGTATTGGTTGTGTAAAAAAACACTTTTCATGATACTATTTTGTGGTATTTTCATATGCATTTAAAAGATTCAAACACAGCTGTGAACATTTCAAGTCCAGTTCTGAACAAATTACAATATTTAAATCAATTTGATATTACAAACGACAAGTTAATTAATAAAGATAAAAGTAATCAATATCAAATCATAACAAAATTAAACATGCACAATTAAAAAGTTGTGCTATGGAAAAACAATTCCACCATAACTGTTTGTCTTGATGCAAATTTATAGCTTTTGATTTGTTCAGGTCACCCACTGGCACAGTCCTCGTTTCCATGGTTACTTCGCTGCGGGGAACTCCTATCCTTCCATACTTGGTGACATGTTGTCAGACGCCATTGGCTGTATAGGCTTTTCATGGGTAGGTAGTCCAATTCTGGTCAAACCTTAGGTCACGAGCATTTTCCTCTCTTTATATTTCATGCATTTCTACTTTTCTTCTGTGATTTTCCTTTATGTGAATGGTAACGTTAATGAGACGAACAGTTGTGACATAAAGAGAACTAACTAGTTTTTATTTCAAAATATTTTATGTAAAATTTATTCCGAGAACGTTCTGAAAACAACGGAAATATAAATTCTTTCTTATAAAGAAACATGTAATGTTGTTTCTTTTAGTAGATTTACAATTGAAATCAAAAACACTCACTTTAAAAATTAAAAATTAATGAAATATAGAAGAAAACGCTAGAATATTTTACTGGATGTAGTGGTTACCGTTGCCATCAACATACCTAGATGGAAAAGATATACACAATAGTATCGATCATATAGATGTGTGTGGTTATAAAATCAATGTCACGCACACCTGAAAAGATCAAATCAAAACAAAAACTACTCATTTGAGTCTTTATTGACAAATGTTTCTGAATTACAATGGTAATTGTACATAATAGCTTACCAGTCAAAAGATAATGCGAGTACATACAATAGGGAAAGTTTTTCAATTAATTTCAAACACACCTGTCTCTCTGTTTCAAATTCAAATTGTATCTATTACCAATTGTAAAGGTAAAGTCACCCATATGTGTGTTACGTTCATCTTTTATACGGTGTCATAAAGTAATTCATGACCAGGGACAGAATGAATAGCCATGGATATTCCGTATATCGTTAAAAACTATATATATAGTTAACATACCAAATGTAACCATTCCTTTGTAAGGCCACTAGTCCAGCCTGAACCAAGTAACTTAGTTTGTTAGGCCACTAGTCCAGCCTGAACCAAGTTACTTAGTTTGTTAGGCCACTTGTCCAGCCTGAACCAAGTTACTTAGTTTGTTAGGCCACTAGTCCAGCCTGTACCGAGTTACTTAGTTTGTTAGGACACTAGTCCAGCCTGTACCGAGTTACTTAGTTTGTTAGGCCACTAGTCCAGCCTGTACCGAGTTACTTAGTTTGTTAGGCCACTTGTCCAGCCTGTACCGAGTTACTTAGATACTACGTGCCTTTGTTAGGCCACTAGTCCAGCCTGTACCGAGTTACTTAGTATGTTAGGCCACTAGTCCAGCCTGTACCCAGTTACTTAGTTTGTTAGGCCACTAGTCTAGCCTGTACCGAGTTACTTAGATACTATGTGCCTTTGTTAGGCCACTAGTCCAGCCTGAACCGAGTTACTTAGATAGTATGTGCATTCCTTTGTTAGGCCACTAGACCAGCCTGTACCGAGTTACTTAGATACTATGTGCCTTTGTTAGGCCTCTAGTCCAGCCTGTGCCGAGTTACTTAGTTTGTTAGGCCAATAGTCCAGCCTGTATCGAGTTACTTAGATAATATGTGCATTCCTTCGTTAGGCCACGCGTCCAGCCTGTACCGAGTTACTTAGATAGTATGCGTATTCCTTTGTTAGGCCTTTGTTAGGCCACTAGTCCAGCCTGTACCGAGTTACTTAGTTTGTTAGGACACTAGTCCAGCCTGTACCGAGTTACTTAGTTTGTTAGGCCACTTGTCCAGCCTGTACCGAGTTACTTAGATACTATATGCCTTTGTTAGGCCACTAGTCCAGCCTGTACTGAGTTACTTAGTTTGTTAGGCCACTAGTCTAGCCTGTACCGAGTTACTTAGATACTATGTGCCTTTATTAGGCCACTAGTGCAGCCTGAACCGAGGTACTTAGCTAAAATGTGCATTCCTTTGTTATGCCACTAGTCCAGCCTGTACCGAGCTACTTAGATAATATGTGCATTCCTTAGTTAGGCCACTAGTCCAGCCTGTACCGAGTTACTTAGATAGTATGTACATTCCCTTGTTAGGCCACTAGTCCAGCCTGTACCGAGTTACTTAGATAGTATGTGCATTCCTTTGTTAGGCCACTAGTCGGGCCTGTACCGAGTTACTTAGCTAATATGTGCATTCCTTTGTTAGGTTACTAGTCCAGCCTGTACCGAGTTACTTAGCTAATATTTGCATTCCTTTGTTAGGCCACTAGTCCTGCCTGTACCGTGTTACTTAGCTAATATGTGCATTCCTTTGTTGGGCTACTAGTCCAGCCTGTACCGAGTTACTTAGATAGGGTGTGGATTCCTTTGTTAGGCCACTAGTCCAGCCTTTACCGATCTACTCATATAGTATGTGCATTCCTTTGTTAGGCCACTTGCCCAGCCTGTACCGTGTTACTTAGATAATATGTGCATTCCTTTGTTAGGCCACTAGTCCAGCCTGTACCGAGTTACTTAGCTAATATATGCATTCCTTTGTTAGGCCACTAGTCCAACCTGTACCGTGTTACTTAGCTAATATGTGCATTCCTTTGTTAGGCTACTAGTCCAGCCTGTACCGAGTTACTTATATATTATGTGCATTCCTTCGTTAGGCCACTAGTCCTGCCTGTACCGTGTTACTTAGCTAATATACTTAGATATTATGTGCATTCCTTTGTTAGGCCACTTGCCCAGCCTGTACCGTGTTACTTAGATAATATGTGCATTACTTTTTTAGTCCACTAGTCCAGCCTGTGCCGAGTTACTTAGATAATATGTGCATTCCTTCGTTAGGCCAATAGTCAAGCCTGTACCAAGTTACATAGATAGTATGTGCATTCCTTTGTTAGGCCACTTGTCCAGCCTGTACCGTGTTACTTAGATAACATGTGCATTCCTTTGTTAGGCCACTAGTCCAGCCTGTACCGTGTTACTTAGATTATATCATGTGCATTCCTTTTTTAGGCCACTAGTCCAGCCTGTACCGAGTTAGAGGTGATCACTACTGACTGGCTTGGTAAGATGCTGGGACTGCCGGAGGAGTTTCTTCACCGCTCACCTGGCCGTGGAGGGGGAGTCATTCAGGTAGATGGTAGCTTTTACTTATCTTTAGACGTCATTCCAGTGGGGCTGTCTCTCTAAGCAGTCTGGGGGAGTCATTCAGGTAGATGGTAGCTTTTACTTATCTTTAGACGTCATTCCAGTGGGGGTATCTCTCTAAGCAGTCTGGGGGAGTCATTCACACAAGTGGTCTGGTAGCTATACTAATTGTGTAATATGTTAAACTAACATTATAATATCATTGTTGTAATATATTGTTAAATAGCTGTAGTAAGCTGTAATTATATTGTAATAGGTTATATTTAAGTCATGACTAGTTATTCTTAGTTATGGTGTAATAAGATGTACTTCTGTTTGTTATAATTTGTTGTGTTGTACCGATGTTGTAACAAGTTATACTTATATTAAATCTTGTTGTGATAGCCATACTAATGTTAAACATTGTTGTAATAAGTTATACTTACAATATAAAATTGTTTTAATAAGTTGTATTAATGTTGTTAAATTGATGTAGTAACATTCTAATGTTATAATTAGTTAAACTAATGTTAAACATTGTTGTTATAAGTTGTGATAACGTTAAACATTGTTGTAATAAGTTGTGATAACGTTAAACATTGTTGTAAAAAGTTGTGATAACGTTAAACATTGTTGTTATAAGTTGTGATAACGTTAAACATTATTGTAAAAAGTTATGATAACGTTAAATATTGTTGTAATAAGTTGTGATAACGTTAAACATTGTTGTAATAAGTTGTAATAACGTTAAGCATTATTGTAAAAAATTGCGATAACGTTAAACATTGTTGTTATAAGTTGTGATAACGTTAAACATTGTTGTAATAAGTTGTCATAACGTTAAACATGGTTTAAAAATTTGTGATAACGTTAAACATTGTTGTTATAAGTTGTGATAATGTTGTTATATTGCTGTGGTATTATTACTATAATGATGTTTTCAGTTTATGATGTTTTAAGCTGTACTTATGTTGTTATATTGCTGTGGTATTATTATTCTAATGCTGTTTTTAGTTGTATTTATGATTTTATAAGCTGTACTTATATTGTAATAGTGCTGACAAACGTTATAAAAATGGCCATGGTGCTTTAGGATGTACTAACATTGTTATATATTTGGTGTGTTATAGTCGACTGCTAGTGAAACAGTACTGTTGTGTTTGCTGGCAGCCAGGACCCGAACGCTTGATAAATACCAGCAGACACACAAGCATATGGATGAGATGGAGGTCATGGCAAAGCTAGTGGGATACACCTCAGACCAGGTGAGATAAAAGATTTGTGCATTTGCCTGTCATAATTTCAAAAATACAGATGCAATTTTGTCATTAAATTATAAATAGTACTGCAAAAATATAGCAAAAATTCTGGAAGCATAACTTGTTATTGCAATCAATGGTCTGGTTTCAGTATTTGAATCTGCAGTAATATCATAATTTCTGTTTCTTTCATGTATGTGTTTAACATTTCTCCCTTTCCCCCTGTAAACAACACAGTCCAACTCGTCTGTTGGACGATCTGGCCTCTTGGGCGCCGTGCGCATGCGCAAATTAGATACAGACGACAAATTCAGCCTACGCGGGGAAACCCTGAGGAAAGCAATAGAGGAGGATAAAGCCAGCGGCCTCATACCGTTCTTTGTGAGTAACCGTATTCATTAATATACGTGTAGCTTATGTAAAGTACGCTTTTCCATAGTTATTATGATTTTCATATTGTCATCTTTGCATCTGTTTTCTTATTTTTCGAATATTATTTCATAACTTTAGGTCTACACGAACGGTGAATGATAAAAATAACACTGGGCTATTATGTGTTTTACTGGGCAAGGGCTGTTATTTTACTGAGCTTAAAATTCCGAGTACTATGAAATAACTAATTATCGTGGGTTTTTGATTTCGTTGATTTTGTTGGTTTCCTTCACCCACGAATTCACAGATACACGAAGGACATAAAGTTATTCTCCGTTTGAAAAGGTACGCGTAATTCATGATTTCATGTACCCAAGAAATTGTATTTTGTCTGGAGACCACACGAAATTTGGCCACACGAAAACATCTGATTTTACAGTATACAGTATGCGAAAATACAACTCTAACTACTAACTGGAAACAATAAATGTACGTGTGGCTTTAATAAGGTAAGATGCAATGCTACACTATTAACTAAATATACAATAACAATTAAGTACAGTTTATCCCCAAGAGCATAACTTGTCTATGAGTGACAAGACAATCATTTTGTTTTCCAGTTGTGTGCCTCCCTAGGAACGACGGGTACATGTGCCTTTGATAATTTAGAGGAACTTGGTCCTATATGTAAGTGTTTTGGAAAGTTTTACCTATAATATATGTAAATGTACTTGTCGATGTTCTCGTTATTTTTGTTGGTCTATTCACTGCAATTTCGGGCAACCAGAATTGATGTTTTGTACCATCCGCGATATGGTTATGCTTACTTGCGTTCTCTGCACCCAAGGCATATGTCACCATGCAATCGAAGGCTTAGTATGCGCCACCTAATGGGTGAGACAATAAGGCTTCTACTATTGCGATCATTTGATGTACATCAAAAGAATCTCGTGGTCGCGTAAAGGTAACATTGACCGGCTTTGAAGTCAGGTGTAATGCTGTAATGTTCAAAGGACAAGTATCAACGTAGCGATTGGTTAGTTTTTTTTCACCTGAGACCAATCGAATTGCTAGCCGTGTGCCTTCAACTTTAATTTGCCATGACATATTCCAGGGATGCAGAGAGCGTAAGTAAGCGTTACCCTTAACATGTCGAGAATGGTTCTGTACTACATATATGGAATTCTTGGTATCCCGACCTTTTCCTGCCATTTATCTGAACCTTTTGTCTTTTCTGCTTCTCTGCTAGTGTTTCTTTACACATCTACCGTTTATATTCTTTTTGTTTTGTTTTGTTGTTGTTTTTGTTTTTGTTTTTTATTTAATATTCATAACCTGTCTCAAGGTAAACAAGAAGACATGTGGTTACATATAGATGCGGCGTATGCCGGGAGTGCTTTCGTCTGTCCGGAATTTCGCCATTTGATGAAGGGAGTTGAAGTAAGTGAGAGTGAATTAAACCATAACGATTAAGTATTAAAGAGTAAATGACCTTAGCTTTGGAAATGTTGCTAAACCATATAAAACAATACCAAACCTTCAACAGTAGTTTCGGATTACCGCACGTTCTGCCCCTAACATCACCGATGTATCGTCCTAGAGGACGCACTAGTTGTATCGTACAGTGTATTTCATTTTTATCATACTGTATCAATTACCCAATTATTTAGGTACAATCACATGAGCGTGTCTTACGTTCATCTGTTACGATAATAGAGTAGGACAAATAATATATTCTCCTTTTTTTAAGAAATCGAGCACATAACGTTATCCATAAATCAACTTATCATTAATCCATTATAGGGAAGTATGTATACCGACATAGATGTCCATATACGGACAGAGAAGTACAGTTATATGTTGATATTAATAATACAATTTTAATTTACTTGCAGTACGCCGATACGTTTAGTATCAATCCTCACAAATGGATGTTGATAAATTTCGACTTATCTGTGATGTGGTGAGTACTGCAACCTTTAGTATCATTTTTTATTATTATTATTATTAAAACATCGATTTTAGCAAATATAATTTTTAATGCATGAAGATATTGATTTTTTGTTTAATTTCGCGGTTTTACTCTCCCCCTCCCCACTCATTTTAAAAAACTTGTAATTCGAACTCAAAATAGGGCAAAATATGAGTGAAGGAAATAAGGTGTTCTGGAAGGTTAAGCGTCGTCTTCTAATTTAAATCCGTGTAATTCCATGTCCTCATAGTAAGACTGGGGTTTGTAACAACAAAATCAAACAAGGTACATTGTACACTAATGTGTATGATGAAAAACATCGACCTTCATATCATACAAACGTGTACCAGACGTGTCATCAATACAACGTCATCATTCGTTTTTACGTGTACCCAGATGAGGCTAATTCGTACAAAGCTTAGTTGCCTAGCTCTTATCTAAGCTTTTTTGGCTAACTCGTACCGATTATGTTCTAGTATTCTAGTTTATTGTTACATTTCAGTTACACGTTTATTTTCATAACATCGCAAATATGTCAAGATAAAACAGCAAATGTCTTCATTACATGAACATAGTCCTGATAAGAAGGTGCTGATTAACAATTGACATAATTTGTCATTTGTAGACAGACAAGATAAATTAGGTGTTGCTTTTATTAATGATGAAGTTAATACAAAGTTTCAAAGGAAATTCATTCCATTAATAATCAAATAAATTATTTGATTTAAAAGTCTATTCGTTATTTGTTTCGAACAGGATAAAGGACAGTTCTCTACTAGTAGATGCTTTCAATGTGGACCCAGTATACCTCCGACACGAAAACGCAGGCAAAGGAGCGCCGGACTACAGGGTAAATATGTGTTAAGTTATTAACCTTAGACGACCTTACGTCAAATATTCCGCCTTTTCGTATTGCAGAGTTATCTTCTCTTGTGAGCAGGTATTGATTGTTACTTCATTTGTTTGTCAGAGTAACGTCATCAATTTTTGAGAAAACGACGTAATTTTCTCGCACAAGCCAATGACGTAACAATCAATAGCTGCTCACAAGAGAAGATAGCTCTGCAATACGCAAAGACGGAATATAATCCCTTACACCTGATGATATATATACTCTTATTACGAATTTACTATATCACAAACATTAATGAAGATTTCAACAGTTATTTAATCATCATCATAACAGTTTTCTTATTATGAAGGAAAGTAATATTGAAAGCGTTTGCGAAGATTACGTGATTTTAGTTAACGCCAACCATTTAATTTGATTGGCGTCTCCTCACAGCTTAACAGAAAGAGTTAAAATTAAATGACCATCAAAAATGTGAAAGAAAATATCGAATATGTATACCATCATAGTAGTATATTTTATCAGAACAAACATATTTTCATGTTCGATATTAGCATTTAACATTGAAGAACTACTTCCGGTTTTGTTACAGCATTGGCAGATTCCTCTCGGACGTCGGTTCCGCTCCCTTAAGTTGTGGTTCATGTTGCGGTCCTACGGGGTGACCGGAGTCCAAGCCTACATTCGCAAGGTAGGTTTGCGCGATTCTCATTTCCATCACATTTCTCCCCATTTATCAATCTTTCGGTAGATGTTAAAGCAAACTTGGGTAGACAAAAGTGTACGAGAGTGGGTCAGCAAAGTGCCGTGCCACAAACAGTTATTAAAACTAGTGCAAAATAGATAGCATGGAAATATCTACATGGCAATCCTAGAAAAAGTACAAGGGATATAAAACCAGGAATGTTAATCTAGGTCAAATCCAAGTAATGTTACGTCATCTATCTCAGAAATCAGGATAGTTGGAGCAAGTTATTGAATACAGAATCAAATATGACATGTAAAATTGTAAGTTGGGGAACCTGGAATGTTACTATTACGAAAAGGAACATTCACAATCAGAAAATCGAAATTGCCATGGGTATCGTACAGATTATGGTGTATTTAAAGATCGAAAGAGTACCAGCGGCAGAATTGCAAATCTATACGAGCAATTCCTTGCATTATCAATTCAGAAAGTGTCAACTTTCTACATTGACAATGTTTATCGCACTCGTTGGTCGTTATCTTCAACGAGCAAATAAAAAGGAAGAACTGCTTTCACATTATTTCTTGTAATTTTAGCACGTTAGTCTGGCCAAAGAGTTTGAGCAGATGGTACTAAATGACAGCCGGTTTGAGGTGGTGGCTGATGTTATAATGGGACTCGTCTGCTTCAGACTAAAAGTAAGTTAATACGGAAGACTACAGCAAATGTATCAAATACACAAGCAATTTAAATAGTTTGGTAGCATGTTTTAAATATCTAAAGAAGAAGACAAAATATAAGAAGTGTACTTCATTTCGCGAACTGTATGAATGAAGGTTTTATTAGCAAATATGTTTTTCTGGAATCAATATTCGGGGAAATGAAATATTGACGATTTAGTCTTCACACGAATTAACACAAAAACATATCTAACAGTATTTACAGTAACTTGAAATGTAAATGTCAGAAATAAATCATATATTATGATAATTGCAATTTTTACGGCGAGTCTGACACTTGGTTATTATTCACGTGTGTTACCAGGGTAACAACACTACGACAGAACGTTTACTGGAGGAGATCCTACAGGACGGTCGTATCTACCTCATACCAGCCATCGTTCACAACATCTACACCCTTAGACTGGCTATCTGTGCCGAGCGTACCAATTCGGACGACATCGCATTCTCTTTCTCGGTCATCCAATCCTGCTCTGATCGTGTGCTCAAAAGGTTCCCGCCAACAGACGACCTCAGGAAAGCTGTCATAGATGTTAGCGATTCGCAGTGTTCGATCGAAACCAATGGCAAATATTCGAACGGCGATTCTCCCAAGATTCCTTATCATTGAACCAATGGCGATACGGGAATTCGAAAAGCTTATTTCTACGAATTAAAATTAACCGATATTCAAAAAGAAATAGTCATCATTAATATTATATTTCGATACTTCTACAGAAAAAAACTGATACATCGTCCAACAATGAAGTATCGGCCCATTTTTTTTTTATTTAAGCCAAATTCAAAATACGTTTTCCGTTCATAATATCACAATCAGTGATTATTATTTTTGTTCTTTTCACAACATAAATACCTCCTATCTTATCAGAGTTTTGATGTCACGATTGTAAATATTAAAGCATTCTTGACGACGTCACAATGTAAGTATGTAAAAACTTAAGATGAAACTGAAATATATATATGATTCACAAGAAGACTTATTCTCAAGACCTTTCGCTGTGACACAACTCCCAGTCAAGGAGTTATATCTTTCGCTGTGACACAACTCTCAGTCAAGGAGTTATATGTTTCGCTGTGACACAACTCTCAGTCAAGGAGTTGTATCTTTCGCTGTGACACAACTCTCAGTCAAGGAGTTATATCTTTCGCTGTGACACAACTTTTCGAGAGGAGGGTCTACTACTGTTACGCAGCTCCACATTTCTCCTGAAGAGCTGTGTGACGGCAAAAAGCCTTGAGAATCAGTCTTCTTGTGTTTTTTTTATTTTTAATTTTCTCATCATTTTCCTGTCAAACGGACTTCAATCAAATTTTTGTATCATATATATGTATTTGATGAATACGCCTTATCCTGTCATGTATGTATGCTTCTGGATGGATGTATACATGTATAAATAAATACCTCTTATCCTGTATTCTGTTTTAGTTTTGCTTAAATATATATATAATTTACTGTCAAAATACAGCAAACGGCTATATCACAAATTGCAAGTGGCCAATTAATTCTAGTCTACATTTGTGTATGTTTGTATATTTATTAAAATTGAAATCGAATACCTCTTACCTTTTTCTGTTAATATATATATACAAAGTCCTTGTGATTGTTATATATAAAATAAATGACGAGAGATTTTCTTGATACTTACCTAGTTTCACTTCTTCATCTGATTAACCTCTAATGAGGCGAAGATACTAAGAAACGCTTCTGTCATTTGTTTTATGTATATGTATTTTTCAATTGAAAACCTCTTATCTAGTTTTACCGCTTTAAGACGACCTACGAACTAGGTTGTGATAAAGCGGTATATAAGAACCTCGAATTATTATTATTATTTACATGTGTTTGTGAATGAATTTACATGTATATTTGTTTTAATTGAAACATTCATCTTCTTTACTAAGCGTTTGTGTATGCAATATATATTTTTATTGAAGTTGAATACGCCCTATGTTCGTGTACGTATACATATCTATCTACCTCTTGTAATCAGCCAGGTTATGCTTCCACAGAAAATTACAGTGGTGTAATATTTGCACTAAATTAAGCACTGATAAGAAATGTTTATTATCATTATACCAATCAATGCGTGTAAGATTAACACTCTCATGCTGTGCAAACTGTACTATAGGACCAGTGGTTAAAAGTAATTTTCGAAAAATTGTTTATTAAAGTCCGTTTTTGTTGCATGTATATATATTAAATAAAATTGAATCCTTTTATTTTTTTCAATTTGATTGTGTATGTAAATATATTTGTTAAGATTAAATTTGTCATCTCTTGTTTTCTGTGTGTTCATGTATTATAACTATCTATCAACCTGTTAACACCTCTGATCTTCTCTGCGTATGTTTATGCAATGCGTGTTGTATCTCGTATCACGATTCTGAAGACCATATTATCAGGTATTTGATAATGCGTCATCTCCGTCCTGTTGTGATGTCTTATCTCAGCAAGTGATATAATCTATTCCTGACACGGTATGTAACGTACGGGGACTAACGCACCAACTGGTGGTGTGATGTCTTATCTCAGCAAGTGATATACTCTATTCCTGACACGGTATGTAACGTAACAGGGACTAACGCACCAACTGGTGGTGTGATGTCCCATTATTACTATAAATCAAGTAACACACAAACAAGGTAACAGTATTAGGAGCCCTGTCGCTCTGCGCTGTGTTTTTTTCTATATATATATACAATACGTTCCCCTTAAACTTTCGTTTGGATATACTTGTAGCACATTTGAGCTTAGAAAGTTCCTTCCGTTGACCAGGTAGAGCGATGGTATTACAATCTTAAATCCATGGTTCAAATCCCGGTCTATCCAAACTGGCGTGCCTAGGTTTAAGACTTTTAGAGAATATATAGCTTGCACCTGGTCAACAGTATCTATCACTGCACCTGGTCAACAGTAGCTATCACTGCACCTGGTCAACAGTATCTATCACTTTATAATCCTGCTGAAGAATCTCTAATACAACCAAAGATAACACCTCTTCAATTCCCTCTCTACTCTAAATGATGCTAATTCGATTGAATGTTCCAACTCTCCTGTAAGGATGTCACATTTTTGATGAAAACATGAATATTTCTATTCTGAAGTTGATCCAGAGGTCCATTTTAGATACTGGACGTTTCCAATAGAGTAATTAGATTTTCCCCTACTCGTGCGGGTATTATAACAAGTCTTGGCGAACTCATCTGCAATTTTGAAAGGTCAGCGCAGATTGGTGCGAGTGAGCTCATCAGCGATTGGCTGATACTGGTGACGACGCTTGTAGAGTAGTGGATTAATACTATAGTATTGATAGTAGGCAGTTACATTATCTACATAAAGGCATTAAATAACCCAAATTGATAGTGAAATTCTTGTGATTCTTTATTTTTATCATCAACGTGATGTGTATAAACTGTTTACCATTGTAAGGCGAGGGCTTTCGTAGACTGTGTTAATTGCCAAATTCTTTTTGTAATGAGAACTTTACAATTAATTGTTCTGAAATGAAATGAAATAGTTCCTTATCTCTCTAGAGCAACTTTATTCTCTGATAATCAATTACATTATATATGTGTATTTCCAAATCAGCATCAAAATTTGTCTTCTTACCTTTTTTGTTTCGTTGTTACACTTCCCATTTCGTTAGTTCCTTGTTGTTCCTCTCCTTTTCTCTTATTGTTGTTTAAGTGATGATTTTATTAATGATATTCTTGATTGTTGGTTCTTTATTTTCCCCTGATGGTTAGTTCCATGTAACTGTCTTGTTACTTTCACATAACGTTGGTTCCTATTTACTCTTCCTTATCATTGGATCATTGATACTTTCACTTATTGTTGGTTCCTTGTTGCCATATTTGTTGGTAAATGTGTAACTCTCTTTTTTATCAGCAAGGTACTTAGTTAACTAGAATAATTGCCACTGGGATTAATTTATGAGTTTCCATTGTCAGCAGTGGTTTCATAATCTTTATCCCAGACTGGCCGGCTCTTATACTAGTCGTTTTATCTTGCTTCTCTCCATTTCAAGGTTATCTGCAGCAGCCAACAAGACGTTGTTTTGCCTCAGTCAGTGTCTTTCCTATCTTCGACCTTTTTTGGCACGAAAGACAATGTGTGCGACATTGTTCAGCTATAAATCCCCGCTGGTGCACGTTAGTAGGTGGTTTCGCGTTGAATACAGATCGTAGCTAAAAAAATAATAATACAGTTGTCTTCGATGATATCAGAACCACATGGCACGTTGTCCTGTTCATCGTTCCGAGGCCTTCTACTTTTGACATTGATATTTCATGCAGTAGCTATAGTAACATGTTACGTTGGTATATACATTACCCAGAAGTCCAAATTGTCACTTTTTTCCGTTGACGCACTCGATTTTGGCGGTAGATAAATGTGTCACTGAAGTATTTCTGTAGGCACTTGTCTGGCAATGACTGAAGGTATATCTTTTCCGGTTCATCATTTTCATAACGTGATTCGTCAAGTTTGAATGACGCTCTTGTCGTACACACAACCACCTTCTTCTCTATGTCTGACTTCTTTTCTAGATCCTCAGATCTCTCTCTGCCTTGGTGATATTCTTTTCCATGAAAAATATTACTAAAATTGAAATGGTAGATTCTGTCACTACTTCCTTTTCAAGGTCTTATCACACTATACGCTCTCCCCAATTACATCCCTCCAACGTATTCGTCGTTTGCTAAAATTGTATTCTAAGTCGTATATGGACGAATTCACCATATGATGCAGTTAATGTTGATATTGTTTTACTTCGCTCCGTGTTTCTAGTGATCATTCTTAAGACTTTTGGAAATTTGTAATAAATGTCCTTTTGTTTAGCACCGTCCATATTGCTTCTTGGAGTTAGGAACCGAAGATGCAATCAACAAGACATTTAGTATTGGTTTTATTTTGAGGATATTTTTAGTCGATTGTCATATAAAGAGTTATTTATTTCATTTCCCTAACACTGTACAGGGGATGTGGCAAGCACTGATTTTTTTCATGCTCACACCTTTTATCAATGAATGGGGAAAAACCCTTCCTTTTACCGTTGTTCAATTGATTATTTTGTATAAAGTTGTAGTTAATTTCCGCTCTATTTTTGTCTTTTATATTTGTATATTTTTAAGCCCACTGCCACATTTACAACTGCAGATCCAACCGCCTTAGTATGGCCTTTGTCTGCGTTGATTGAATGTTTACACATAATGACGGACGCAAACGGTCGGAATAGGAGCATTTGGCTCAGATGATCTTAAATCAGACAAGTACACATGACAGCTTTCTTAACAAAGAAACGTTTATTAGAAACATTAGGGACAACACCAGCGTGGAATAGCACCAATGCTATATATAGAACTAAACAGGATATCTCCAACACAGAAACCTAAGACACATTAATCTCTCTACATTCATTCATGTGTTTATCCCTCTAGATAAAACGCTTTGTTTTCAGAATACAGATTATTTCTCTCCTTTCCATATCTTTGAAATCTAACTACCATTTTGAAATGCAAATATAATCTTTCTACAGCTAAATCTGGTTTTCTAAAAACAGTAGTTATCAGGTTTAACATATTTTATTTTTCATTCTTATTCTATTTAGATTTGTAAATCCTTAATCTTTCTGAGCGACAAAAAATGAAAGAAATCAATATTGAAAGAGGATAAATAGATAATCAGATAATCGGATGTGATTATTATTATTCCTAAGTTCTGTCAAGCATGTTTTATATAATTACTTCCACTTTGAAAATTCATTTGCAACTACATGTATATTTGCAGAAAAATATATTCCACTTTCACAATCTAAACCAAGATGTGGTGAAAATGGGTATCATTATACTATCTCATTAACACTTTCACCACTTCAGATCATAATGGACTCACCCATATCAATGCATGGTAGAGTCTACTAAAGTTACAGAGGGTTGAAAGGGTTAACAGATGTGGTGTATCTACCATCCCTAATATGGAAAACAGGTAAACAATGTACACGAAAAATAAAATAATTCAAATAAATATATCTATATATATATGGAACTTTTTACGAAGTGATATTTTTAAAATCAACAAAGACATAATTTTTCTCATGTTGAAACATACATTTACACAAAAAATCTTTCTAGTATTATATCAGAACTGTATTACTAAAAACAATGGAATTTGGTAATAAATTCAAGCTCCATGAAATAAATAAGCCATGGACGATGCAGTTTGTACACCACTGGACTTTTAGATATAAATGTAGGAACAGAATCACAGTGCCACAATGCTGGATTGCTGAAGATCACATGACAAAATTTAATTGCGAAATATATTTCAAAATGTAAAACAATTAAATACGAAAAATCAATAGTTTCAACAACAATTATCAAAAATAATCACACTGGACGGAATCCATATATAACTTAATTAATTATCACAGAGTTTGGTCTACATTGAATATATTACAAATATTCAAATAAACAAGATTCCTAGAAGGATCTTGATGCCCACCATCAAAGGATCTTTATCATATCTACAAAAGATTATATTTTCCTTCTTTGCTCTTCATTTTCCTTAAAGGTACTATTATCCAGTCCCTCTCTCTCAAAATTAAAGATGGATACCTGTCAGCCATCTTACTTTTTTGATCAGTCCAAAAATGTTTTATTCATAACTTAGGACCACTGGTAACCTTCATGTGAAGTTTGAGAATCCTTCCAGTACCTTCTCAGAAATAGCAATAACAAGAATTGCTTATTGACAGGTGAACAGATCATGGATGAAGGTGGGCTAAAATGTTAAGATACATGGTTCCCAATATCATTTGGCGGGGGGAGGGGATTCCAAAAGGATTGGTGAAACAGCTCTCATAATAAATTGTTTGATCTTCATAAAATGAAGATAAGTCCAATGGGTTGACAGATTTTACAGAAAAAAAGTTGTTCATTGAAAAGTCTTCTAGTTTAGAGAGCTTCATTTAAAAGAACTTTTGTCCAATTACTTTCAGATTTAGCGAAGTTGTTTTACACAGAATAACAAAATGTTGTCCCTAATAATTCAATTTCAATCCCTATCTTGAGTATCAAATTATGTAAGTAAAGCTGAAAAGTACGTATCACAATGTTTGAACAAGAAAACTTTGAGACGCCCTTTTTGAAAAAATGATGTTAACAGGCCGCAGCCAGATTTTTGGCGAAAAATGAAGCTCATTAAATATCGTGATTTCTATTAAACATAAATTTTCAAAATTATGATAAACAACATCTTAGTGTTCAAAAATAGAAATCATAAAATTACCATTCTATATACATTGGTGTTGTGGTGAATACGTAATTAAACAACAAAATCTTGATGTATTGAAGCAGTCGTGATGGTCAATCAGTTTAAAATTATAAATGATAATCGGTTTGTGATAGGGAAATAGTAAACCATTTGATGATTGATTGCAAAATGGGTATATAATTTTATGGGACTGAATACCCAAATAAAGTGAGAGCGCTTCTGTTACATCAACAGACAGAGTTGTAAACTATACATTAGGTTTCGGTTTTTTATAATGAATGGATGTCAAGCATCTTTCACGCAGTTTTGTCAATCATATACTAGTAAAAATCAACTTTCAATGCATATTTTACAGTGGATACATTTGACACTTTGATGCAATAATGAACAGATTATATTGGTTATTGAATTGGTAATCAATTTTATGTTATAATCGATTTATAAAGTCATTTTGGGTCATCTATGACCTTAATAGTAACAATACCAAGTAACTATTGAAGCCTTCTTATTTTTTCTACAAGTCATTTTTTCTTTCAACATTTTCCCCAGACAATATTTTAGAATTTAAAGAATATCTTAATAGATTTCAATTGGTATTTTCAGAAAATCTTTCTTCAATTTATTGCCCCCTTTCTTAGATGAATTTTAACATCTCGAGCTTTTCATTAGATAACGGAGAACTGATATAGACGAATCTAATACAAACTTTCGTCTTCCATAGATCACAGTTTCCTGTAACATTCTGTAACATTTCTGTATCGGCTAATGCCTCAATTGGTAAGGTCTGACAGCATATCATTAGTTAATAGAATAATGATAAAAACATCGTAAATCTAGACAAGACAACAGAACAGAAGCATGTAAAGCATATAATTATGTGAAATGACAAATTTGACACGTATCTATGGGGTTCAGAGATCCCTCCCTCCCCCTCCCCCTCCCAGCGCCCTGGGTTTAGAGCCAAAAACAGACTGCTTCCCCGCTACATTTTCCCCAATCAATGTAGGTACAAGCTGCTGCTAAATTTTGGAAGAAAAAGCACTGATCAAGTCAACTTGTGACAAGCCTGACACAACAGGATAATGAGGTCAACATCAACGAAGGCTAAAGAGAACAGAACTTCAACAGCGTAAATGTTGTGTAGACAAAAACATTAAAACTTTACTGCTTAATAAATATTTGTATAGTACTTTTTTAACAGGATATCACTCAGGAATAAATGGAAACATTCCTAAACCATAGTTGATATAGCCTATAAGACAGGAAAATTCCACCTGAAGGTTTTCAAATTGGGTAAAACCCTTTCCTACGCATAAAAGAGTATTTTCTCTCATTCCAGTCACCAGAATAAGCTCAGAAACCACAAAAAGGGTAGCAATTTCTACACTGCGGCATCAGAATGTTCCAAATTTTGTGACGTCACAGCATTGCTGTCCCATTGTGAAGTCATGCATGTGGAATCTGGTGTAAGGAATTTCTTTCATCCTTTCCTTGCCCTGGACAGTTCCATCACATGCTCACAGGAATGAGAGCTTAACTTATCTGTAATTAATGTAGAATGATGAAACGGTCTACCAGTATGTCACACTAAGCAGGAATTATTCCATTTGCATAGTATTGATATGATATTGAAGACCTGCAGATGCGAGAAGATCTTCAGAAGACTCATTCACCCGTGAAATTTTATAATGAACTATTCCGACCCTTGATTTCGAAGAGTTCAAATGTGTTTTCAGGGGTGAATGAGTTAGTGGGCGTATTTACAGCAAACAGGAAAGTGCTTGGTCACTATGAGGCTGGAAGCTGAACACTGCCCAACTTAACAGCTGATTTGCCACTGAGAGTCACCGCTCTGACCGACACATATATACGAAGGTTGGAAAGGTTTGTGATGACCGATGGAATGGTCAGTGTCATGGAAGAGGCCGTGGTCTCCATCCACTGGACGATGTCACCACTGCCCAAGTTGCTACCAGCCGACACCTCGTAGAAGAGTTCATATGTAGATGTAAATACACTGTCCCATGCTATTGTTAACTCCTGTCTTGTGTCGTCCCAGGTCACATCCAGTGGAGTGTTAACTGCCAACAGAAAGAGTACATGAACTTTCCTAATATTTGATTGAATTTTTTGCCCCCCATTTGAGATTTGCTCAGGTATGAAGTTACATTAAACACATTTCACAAAACTGTTAACTCTATTGGTGATTTGCAAAATAAAATCTGTGGAGAAATTCTGGACAAAAGTTTTTTTGTTTTTTTTTAAAAGAAAGCAAAATTTGCCTACAAACCAGCATTTGCCGACTGGCTCCTTCCTTCTCCCCAGAGTGCAAGATATTGAATTGAAATTATTTAGAATTAAAACTTCAGAGGTCATCCTTTAAAGAGTATTGTTAACTTACATTCTCTGTAGAGAGCAAAGGAGAGCGAAACCCCTGGAATTTCAAGGACATTATGAGGTCTGACAAACTGACTTTGATACCAAGGTTTGAATGCTTATAAATTCAATTAAATTTATCAATTAAATTTAGAAAGGCCTGTTACCGTGTGTGGTGGGAGTCTGTGTAAACACTGTCAGGTTTGTGGTAACTTTGGGGCTTACTGTGTGTGGTGGGAGTCTGTGTAAACACTGTCAGGTTTGCGGTAACTTTGGAGCTTACCGTGTGTGGTGGGAGTGTGTGTTAACACTGTCAGGTTTGTGGTAACTTTTAGGGCTTACCGTGTGTGGTGGGAGTCTGTGTAAACACTGTCAGGTTTGCGGTAACTTTGGAGCTTACCGTGTGTGGTGGGAGTGTGTGTTAACACTGTCAGGTTTGCAGTAACTTTGGGGCTTGTCCTGTACTGGAGGTTCACAGCCGAGATGTCAAGGTCATGTTCGCCTTCCGATAGTTCCAAACCATGTATCCACACATAGGTCTCCTCCTGGTCATAGGCCAACATTTTCCACCTCCTATCATCCAATCTGAACTGTAAACCCCAGAATAAACACTTAAAGCTTGTTCACTGTAACATGCACAAGACAAACAGCAACTAAATCAATGTTTTTGTCGTCTGTCAAAAGTGGTATTTTCCAATGGACAAATATTTTAAAAATATAAAATTACCTACTATACGAAAACTTCATTAAACTAGTAATTGAAACCATCTTCCATTATATAACCTAATTTTTTAATCAGTCACCTGGCATACCTGGCACTGAACATGCACTCATCCCCCTCAATCCCCTATCCCACACAAAAGGAGCTACCTTCATTTATACAATGTTGAATGCCTTTTGTCTAAGGATGCTCTAGACCAGTTTAGATTAAAATCCCTTCAACAATACTCAAAGAATAGGATTTTGAAGACTTACCTATATTTCCCCTATTTGGCCCTGCCCCTCTTCCCCTAGCCCTAGGGGTCACATCCTTCATTTATAACAATTGAATTCCCCTTAGCCTAGCAATGCTCAAAACCAAATTTGGTCCAAATCCATATAGCCATTCTAGACAAACAGACAAACAGACATCCAATGCCACACCTAGGCATAACGGTTACTTGCTCTTTGGGCAGGTAAGCTAAAAACATCAAGAAATCCCTCACATTTCCTAAATACTACAGAAAAGCTGGTCTTTTGGGCCATAAAAACTGGAGGTAAACTAGGCATTCTCAGATATCTAATTTAGAATACATTAGTTTATCTACCTATATATCTAAATACAACTTTACTAAAGGGGTGGCATAAATGTCAGACTTCGTAATCACAAATTTCACTGTAACGAAATGACTTACTATGAAGCCCTCAATGCCGACTGAGTCTCTGAAGCCGGACCATTTGAGACGAACTTGTGTGGTGTCTGCCTGAAAGTGTGGGGCTGCCGAGAACTCTGTATGCGTCAGTCCGATTGTACTGAACTGGACATTGTCCACTGCTGGACTAAGTCGGGAGATACGGACACCATCGGACGAGCTGACAGACTGGACACCAGCTTTGTTCTGACAGCGAATCGTGGAGTAGACAGTCATGCCTTCGACATTGGCATATCCAACATCCTGAATCTGTCCCGTAAACACATTGTCAGCTATCCTGGTGAAAGTTTGTAACTCATTTCCAAATGGCTGATAACCTGTAAAAAATAAAGGTCACTTGCAGAAGCTCTAATAACCCAGTTTGTATATAAACCAGCAGGTAAACATTTAACAAAGTATTTTACTATAGCAAAAGTGATGTTCTAGCACTGTTTTATTACATTTTCATTCTGTTCGCACATCTCTGCATATAACATAACCAAAGCAGCACATCCATCAAACAAACAGTCCATGACGAGTAAAAACATCGATGTTACATTTGTCTGTGCAGACAAATTTCAAACCCTTTACCCAGGGTATGTTCCTAATCTTATTTCTCAAAACCATGTCAGCTTTTTCAAAAGAGACATTATATCTTCCTAAACAAACAGCTTTTAACTGCTCTTCAATAGAGAAAAGTGGCTGTGCTTGAATCGTGTACTGTTTTATTCATGCTTACCTATGGCCCATTCACAGAAGTCCAGCCCCGACTCTGGGTCATGGACTTGCCAGTTGACCAGGACTTCATCTTGTTCCCAGGAGTCCAAGTCTAACTCTGTACAAGGAGAAAGGATGTTTTTTAGTCAGACCACACCTACCAAGCCAATGTCTACACCTAAAGATCTAGAGCTATTGTACTAGTGATATCTATACCTATAGAGCTGTTACCAGTGAAAGCTATGCAGTCATATAATCCATACCCATAAATGATCCATTTAAAGGTACCAAATTCTGACAGGTCTACGTAATTGTTTCAATCACCGTATATCAAGTTGTTTAATTTTGCAAGCTAATTTTTTTTGGATATTTGATCAGAACTTATTCATGGCAATCAAATTTGGTGCAACAATACCAGGTAAAAATATAGCACCCATGAGAGTTCTTTTGTATTTGGGCTTTATTGAAATAACGTAAAATATGACATTGCATTGGTGTTTTCCCCCATTATTTGGCAGTAAAGGGGTAAATAGTTTTTTCTTTCATTTTGATATGCTTGTGGCATTTATATTGGCCTGGCATTTAATATAACACTATCTTTGGTGACTGCCAATATAGCAAATTTAAACCCTTGTGAAAATTACCAATGCTATACAGTAATCAAATCAAAAATGGCTATCCTGTATCATAAAAAGTTGAAGATGGACTTTCGCTGATTGCCTTCACTTTTTTAAGAATTATTTTGTAAATTTTGCCTTCACTTTTTTAAGAATTATTTTGTAAATTTTGGACCAAAATATCCAGCCTATGATCTATGTATATAGGGTTATCATATTTAGAATCAATGCTGCAAACATAACTCAAACAATTTCTTTCACCTACTAACTATGATAAATAAAAAGTGAAAAAAATATTAAAATAAAGATTCTTTTATTTCTATTCCCGATTCTTCAACTAACTTGATCCCTCTTTCATTCTAATTCAATTTTGTATAAAAAACAGTAAGTGTTGCAGACAGTGTAAAAGTACCTACCAGTTGTTCCTGTACCTGAAAACAAAACAAAAAGTGAAAAGTCAATTAAATGTACTAATGGATCTAAGATTATCTAATATAGAGAAATAAACATTATATTATTACCAATTTTCAGCAAAAAAATGATTAAGAAAGCATTTTATCCAGGTCAAATATTATTACAATTGGCCTTAAGAATCTTTAGAAGTCATTTGAAGATTGCAAAAGTTAAAGTTGTTAATTTATTTGAATGAACTTGATAGCCCATCATTCCAGCTAGCCAATATTGTAAAATTAGGACATTAGAAACCTAAGTAAGGTAGCATACACCCTTAAGTGAGGAACTCATTGGAAAAGAAGTATTTCACAAAAAGTAAGGTAGTATATACCCTTAAGTGCAGAACTCTTTTGTAATGAAGGTAGATGCTACAGTAAGGTGATGAGCTTTGTAGCAATTAATGGGTATATGTACCTGAACCATCACTGACGGCGGTGAAGATGGGTGGGGTGAGATCTACTAGGATGGGTGGAGAATAGGCAATGCTTTGCAGCCCCGAGGTGCTGGTAGCTACCACAGTAATATAAATCTCAGATGTATGTACAAGGGTGACCGTGTTGTTGTAGGCAAACCTCTGCTGTCCAACACTGCGGAAATCCTGCACCTGTGTTCCTCCTTTCTTGTAGCCTGAACAAATTCAAAAGCATTAACAAGTTAGACTGATTATGATACCTTGTTTATTGTGAAAGGCCTAGTGATCCAATAGTAACAATATTTCCAATTTTGCAAAAATCAAATTTGATTTCATAAAAGATTGTTATTATGACTTTTGTGACCTGAATGATTGAAACTATCAAAATCATTGGAATTAAATCATGGTTGAATGACTGGAATAAAACGACAATATATACATATATACTGTATGTTAACTTATATGTCAACCAGGTAGTTTTTGTGGAAGTATTATTTTCTTTTGTATTTTGCTTTGTATAATAATTCAACAGCAAGTTAAACAATGCAGTGAAAATGTGAAGTTCCTTGCATTATTGTAAGTTCTAATTGGAGACCACAGAAATACAAAGTATATTAACATACAGTTTGCTTTTCTTGAAAAATATTAACATGATCTAAAGGTTTTAACAAATTAAATTTGCATTCATGCTATAATTACGGTTAGCCGTTGAAATTTCGATACAGACATTAAAATTAATTACATACCTGTTGATTTCAGACCATGAAATACAACGTTCTGTATTGCACATGTGCAATACAGAATGTTGTTTTTACCTACTAGCCAGAACTACTTTTTATGGGAATCCCCTTGCCATGGCGAACTGAATAAAGTTCCCGGTATTTGCAAAAAATATCAAAGTTTATAAAACTTTGTATCGATCTCTACCAAATACGGAAGGTATGTGATAAAAGCAAGACCACACACTTTTGTTTTTCACCGTGCACGAGTGAATATATACGTCCACGCAATAAATGAGTGCTTCATGATTCGTTAGAAAACGCAAGTGTGTGGTCTTGCATATGTATCATTGTTAGAAAATACCAGCGTAACAGTGATATTTCAAAATAGTCAAAATACCACAGGATTACTATATGAAAAGGGGCACAATAAAAAGTTAAAATGTTTCACTGTGTTAAAACATCACTGACACACACCAACTTTCTTCCTGCTCATTCAACACTGTACGCATGTTTATTTCTTCATGTACTCAAAAAGCTGTATTCAGGTATTTTTGACAAAGTAATATCACGATTTGTGCTAATGTTTTGCTACCATTAGAGACCTGAGAGTACATACCTATAGCCCACAGGTACTCAGTGATGTGGCTTTCTGCCTCAAGAAAGCTCCAGGATCCATGTATAGACCCCCATTCATGTAGAAATACCACATGTGCATTCACTGTATCAGATGTGGCACCAGTATTGCGTGTAACATGATGTACCTGAACATCGTCGATCAATATTCCCGTACCCCGATCCAAACTGCCGAGGCTTAGTGTCATTGTAGTGCTGGTCACCTCAAAGTAAAACGTGTGCAGATGCCACGAGATTGTCTCCCTTGTGTCACTGCCGTGGTCGTCAAGGCGATAAGCCTTGGTGTACAAGAGGAAGACATGGCGATTGCCAAATTCAACAAAGCCTTCCTTATTGGCGATGACAGAATCCACACTAGGAAGGTGTGACGTGACAAAGGTAATCCTGTACAGGCCTTTCATTTCTAGTCCACTGATATCCTGGGACAGCATACCTCGGACAATCACCATTGATCTCCCATCTTTGGCCAGGTTTGTATCAGATGACACAACAGCCACACACGTATCCCAGGCACTGGTCCATATGTCTGGGAGGAGTGTGGAATTGACATTACATATGTCTGTACTGTTGACTTTGTCCCAGGGTATGGAATGGCCACCACTATTCTCAAATGATGGATTGGCAGCCACATTAATATTATCAAGATGAACCAACTGCTCAGGATAAGGTGGGGTCGTATCCACGGTGACCCCATCAGACACAGCAGTGTCGGATTTCTGTCCCAGACCATCAACAGCATATACCTTATTGTAAACTCTCCAACCTGTAAATAAAAACATACACTATCACTTAACATACATCGTCAATATGTGCAGTTTAATATTAGTTGTTGCTTCGCTTCATTCTGAGATTTTTCAAAAGGTTGGAGACAATCTTTTCAACCACCTTTGCCTCAAATAAGGTTTAAAAAAGAAAGTACATAGCATTTTCAGCGTATTTTTCTGTAATAATTTCTTTACAAAACTAGAAAATGTCTGTAAGACATGAATGCTATCTTGGCCCTGCATGTGCACTTGGTTGACCTATAAATAGCAACAGTGACCTTGGGACTCTGAAATAGGAGCTCATCCGAAATATTCTCATACTTGATCTTTATATAAACTTTGATGAAGTCTGTTAAGGAATGACAGAGGATAGTGGCACAACGAGAAACGACAGGTTTGGAAAGACGGATAATGCTATCTACCCTCCACCCCTACACCCATAAAGACGCAGGGATATCCTTATAACCCAAGTACATACAATATCAAATCACACTGAAAGACTAATGAATACAATTATTCCATAATTTACCATGGGAAAGAGCTGTTGATAGGTTGGTGCTGACGGCGGTTCGAAGACCTACGGCCTCCCACGTTTTGATGGAACACTCTGTCTTGCTTTGTGTGGTACCCACGCACCAGTAATAGGTCTTTACTCCTGCGTCAAGGTCCACAAAACCGTGCCACGTTGCCCCCAACTTTGAGCGGCTACTCTGGTACTCCAAGTCATGTATACCTGGTGCACAAAATGGAAATCAACATAAGTCATGTTACACATAACATATTCAGCCTATTTGGTATACAACAGTTGTGACTTTGACCTCTGTCGTGAGAATTGTCATTAGAGATCCCCGTAACACTGCCAAAAAATGTCACTTAAAGTGTTTGAAACTATTTTTACCAGCATGACTATATTTTAATAAATGATTTCTGAAATGAAAACCATACCTTGTGGGACTTTAAACAAAACAAAAATGGGAAAAAAAATATGACAACAACAGTGTTCTGAATGTAAACAAAAAATGCAGCAGGACTAGTTCAGGATTCTAACCCAGGACTCAAGATTGATATTCCACCGCTCTAAACGATTGAGCTACCCGGTAAACAGAAGTGTCCGGGCCTAACTGTGCTACAGTTATATCACAGTGCAGTGGGTCTAGTTCAGGATTCTAACCCAGGACTCCAGATTGATATTCCATCGCTCTAACCGATTGAGCTACCCGGTCAACAGAAGTGTCCTGGCCTAACTGTGCTACAGTTAGATCACAGAGCAGTGGGACTAGTTCAGGATTCTAACCCAGGACTCAAGATTCATATTCCATCACTCTAACCGATTGAGCTACCCGGTAAACAGAAGGGTCCTGGCCTAACTATGCTACAGTTATATCACAGTGCAGTCGGACTAGTTAAGGATTCTAACCCAAGACTCCAGATTAATATTCCATTGCTCTAACCGATTGAGCTACCGGTTAACAGAAGTGTCCTGGCCTAACTGTGCTACAGTTATATCACAGTGCAGTGGGACTAGTTAAGGATTCTAACCCAAGACTCCAGATTAATATTCCATCGCTCTAACCGATTGAGCTACCGGTTAACAGAAGTGTCCTGGCCTAACTGTGCTACAGTTATATCACAGTGCAGTGGGACTAGTTCAGGATTCTAACCCAGGACTCAAGATTGATATTCCATCGCTCTAACCGATTGAGCTACCCGGTCAACAGAAGTGTCCTGGCCTAACTGTGCTACAGTTATATCACAGTGCAGTGGGACTAGTTCAGGATTCTAACCCAGGACTCAAGATTGATATTCCATCGCTCTAACCGATTGAGCTACCCGGTCAACAGAAGTGTCCTGGCCTAACTGTGCTACAGTTATATCACAGTGCAGTGGGACTAGTTCAGGATTCTAACCCAGGACTCAAGATTGATATTCCATCGCTCTAACCGATTGAGCTACCCGGTCAACAGAAGTGTCCTGGCCTAACTGTGCTACAGTTATATCACAGTGCAGTGGGACTAGTTCAGGATTCTAACCCAGGACTCAAGATTGATATTCCATCGCTCTAACCGATTGAGCTACCCGGTCAACAGAAGTGTCCTGGCCTAACTGTGCTACAGTTATATCACAGTGCAGTGGGACTAGTTCAGGATTCTAACCCAGGACTCAAGATTGATATTCCATCGCTCTAACCGATTGAGCTACCCGGTCAACAGAAGTGTCCTGGCCTAACTGTGCTACAGTTATATCACAGTGCAGTGGGACTAGTTCAGGATTCTAACCCAGGACTCAAGATTGATATTCCATCGCTCTAACCGATTGAGCTACCCGGTCAACAGAAGTGTCCTGGCCTAACTGTGCTACAGTTATATCACAGTGCAGTGGGACTAGTTCAGGATTCTAACCCAGGACTCAAGATTGATATTCCATCGCTCTAACCGATTGAGCTACCCGGTCAACAGAAGTGTCCTGGCCTAACTGTGCTACAGTTATATCACAGTGCAGTGGGACTAGTTCAGGATTCTAACCCAGGACTCAAGATTGATATTCCATCGCTCTAACCGATTGAGCTACCCGGTCAACAGAAGTGTCCTGGCCTAACTGTGCTACAGTTATATCACAGTGCAGTGGGACTAGTTCAGGATTCTAACCCAGGACTCAAGATTGATATTCCATCGCTCTAACCGATTGAGCTACCCGGTCAACAGAAGTGTCCTGGCCTAACTGTGCTACAGTTATATCACAGTGCAGTGGGACTAGTTCAGGATTCTAACCCAGGACTCAAGATTGATATTCCATCGCTCTAACCGATTGAGCTACCCGGTCAACAGAAGTGTCCTGGCCTAACTGTGCTACAGTTATATCACAGTGCAGTGGGACTAGTTCAGGATTCTAACCCAGGACTCAAGATTGATATTCCATCGCTCTAACCGATTGAGCTACCCGGTCAACAGAAGTGTCCTGGCCTAACTGTGCTACAGTTATATCACAGTGCAGTGGGACTAGTTCAGGATTCTAACCCAGGACTCAAGATTGATATTCCATCGCTCTAACCGATTGAGCTACCCGGTCAACAGAAGTGTCCTGGCCTAACTGTGCTACAGTTATATCACAGTGCAGTGGGACTAGTTCAGGATTCTAACCCAGGACTCAAGATTGATATTCCATCGCTCTAACCGATTGAGCTACCCGGTCAACAGAAGTGTCCTGGCCTAACTGTGCTACAGTTATATCACAGTGCAGTGGGACTAGTTCAGGATTCTAACCCAGGACTCAAGATTGATATTCCATCGCTCTAACCGATTGAGCTACCCGGTCAACAGAAGTGTCCTGGCCTAACTGTGCTACAGTTATATCACAGTGCAGTGGGACTAGTTCAGGATTCTAACCCAGGACTCAAGATTGATATTCCATCGCTCTAACCGATTGAGCTACCCGGTCAACAGAAGTGTCCTGGCCTAACTGTGCTACAGTTATATCACAGTGCAGTGGGACTAGTTCAGGATTCTAACCCAGGACTCAAGATTGATATTCCATCGCTCTAACCGATTGAGCTACCCGGTCAACAGAAGTGTCCTGGCCTAACTGTGCTACAGTTATATCACAGTGCAGTGGGACTAGTTCAGGATTCTAACCCAGGACTCAAGATTGATATTCCATCGCTCTAACCGATTGAGCTACCCGGTCAACAGAAGTGTCCTGGCCTAACTGTGCTACAGTTATATCACAGTGCAGTGGGACTAGTTCAGGATTCTAACCCAGGACTCCAGATTGATATTCCATCGCTCTAACCGATTGAGCTACCCGGTCAACAGAAGTGTCCTGGCCTAACTGTGCTACAGTTATATCACAGTGCAGTGGGACTAGTTCAGGATTCTAACCCAGGACTCCAGATTGATATTCCATCACTCTAACCAATTGAGCTACCCAGTCAACAGAAGTGTCCTGGCCTAACTATGCTACAGTTATATCACAGTGCAGTGGGACTAGTTCAGGATTCTAACCCAGGACTCCAGATTGATATTCCATCGCTCTAACCGATTGAGCTACCCAGTCAACAGAAGTGTCCCGGCCTAACTGTGCTACGGTTATATCACAGTGCAGTGGGACTAGTTCAGGATTCTAACTCAGGACTCAAGATTGATATTCCATCGCTCTAACCAATTGAGCTACCCGGTCAACAGGAGTGTCCTGGCCTAACTGTGCTACAGTTATATCACAGTGCAGTGGGACTAGCTCAGGATTCTAACCCAGGACTCAAGATTGATATTCCATCACTATAGCCAATTGAGCTACCCGGTCATCAGACGTGTCCTGGCCTAACTGTGCTACAGTTATATCACAGTGCAGTGGGACTAGTTCAGGATTCTAACCCAGGACTGAGGATTGATATTCCAGAGCATTTTTTATGACGTCACTAGAAGCACAATACTCATCATTACCCAAAGACAATACCTTGGACCTTGTCTTTAACCGAGGTTGATACGACACACCATATACACCTTTTCTAGGGTTGGAGATAATACATGTACAAGGTTTTATCAACTGCATGGATTATTTTGCTTATCTTTCTAGTATGTATTCTGAAGCTTTATATATGAGTAACAAAAGGAAATGTATGTGCAATGTTTATTCAGGGATGTTTGCAAAGCAAACTTTTAAGTTTTTCCCCTGAGATCTAACTTTTAAAAATTCTTGTAACATATATAACTTCAAGGAAATTTCTGAATACCGTATCTGACTTAATAACGGCGCATGTCTTAATAACCGTGCCCCTTCTCTAAATTACATGTGCCATGCACCCTTATTAGGTCAAAGGACTATAGGGGCGTTATGGGTCATTTCCAGCCTCATCGGGGATTTTGAATTACTGTAATTGTTATATTCGTAATTTGGAATAAATGAAGTATGCAAATATGAAATATAAAATTCATTCCACAACTGGTTTTGGAGATATGGTATTACAAAGAGAAATAAATCTGCATTTTCATAATAAAATGTGTGATTATCGTCTGATGTGCACTATTTGGTTAAAAATTTGCCATTTTGAAGGAAATTAACTAAATACTTTTAAATTTTTAAAAGCCTTCGCATGCAACAAACAAATTAATATTCGACATGCTTAAACATTGTCATACCAGTGTTCATTGGTAGAAAGGAATATTTGTTTGTCACATGCGAAGGCTTTCCTTACTGCATGCTTACTGTCCACAAACACCATATTTTGGCTATTTCTGCATAGCATTAGCAACGCAATTTCGTTGCTATGGTAGGGCATCTATGCATGCGCATTGAAAAAAATATGCACCAAGAAAGATAGGCACAATTAACCAATATGAGGTTTATAACAGGAATTGGTAAATAATTCAAGTTGAAATTTTTACTTTTATGAGCCATTAAATGATCCATAACAACCAAGTCCTTTGATTGGGATAACATAAAAAAATCCCATAAGAATCTTTATAACTTAATTCCAAACCAGTTACCAATAAATAAGGTACATCAACCAAATCAATCAAACAGAATAACTTATTAGTCATAAAAAACGTAATGTTAAAACATTGACCACTAATCCATAGGTCACAAGAGTTATTACATAGCTGAATCCAATATCAACACCAGCTACACACTCGTATGTGAAGTGTATCAGAAATTTCTTCAAAAACGGCAACAACACATATGTGTTAATGTTCACTCAGTACAAACCTCTCCTGGAGCTGCATATAGGGCAGTGAAGTTCTGATCCTAAAACAAAGCACCATTCCAGCAAATAGACAATAAGTCTTTTATATGGTTATTTACGCTGTAACTCAGCATGTAGATACCAGGTCTTTTATTCGGTTATTTACGGTTTAACTCGGCATGTAGACACCAGGTCTTTTATATGATTATTTACGGTTTAACTCGGCATGTAGACACCAGGTCATTTATATGATTATTTACGCTGTAACTCTGCATGCAGATACCAGGTCTTTTGTATGGTTATCTACGGTTTAACTCGGCATGTAGACACCAGGTCTTTTGTATGGTTATTTACGCTGTAACTCTGCATGCAGATACCAGGTCTTTTATATGGTTATAGATGCTGTAACTCTGCATGCAGATACCAGGTCTTTTATATGGTTATTTACGGTTTAACTCGGCATGTAGACACCAGGTCATTTATATGGTTATCTACGGTTTAACTCGGCATGTAGACACCAGGTCTTTTGTATGGTTATTTACGCTGTAACTCTGCATGCAGATACCAGGTCTTTTATATGGTTATTTATGCTGTAACTCTGCATGCAGATACCAGGTCTTTTATATGGTTATTTACGGTTTAACTCGGCATGTAGACACCAGGTCATTTATATGGTTATCTACGGTTTAACTCGGCATGTAGACACCAGGTCTTTTGTATGGTTATTTACGCTGTAACTCTGCATGCAGATACCAGGTCTTTTATATGGTTATTTATGATGAAACTCTGCATGTAGATTCCAGGTCTTTTATATGGTCATTGATGCTGTAACTTGGCATGTAGATGGCAGGTCTTTTAAATGGTTAGTAACGGTGTAACTCGGCATGTAGACACCAGGTCTTTTATTCGGTTATTTACGGTTTAACTCTGCATGTAGACACCAGGTCTTTTATATGGTTATTTACGGTTTAACTCGGCATGTAGACACCAGGCCTTTTGTATGGTTATTTACGCTGTAACTCTGCTTGCAGATACCAGGTCTTTTATATGGTTATTGATGCTGTAACTTGGCATGTAGATGGCAGGTCTTTTAAATGGTTATTAATGGTGTAACTCGGCATGTAGACACCAGGTCTTTTATATGGTTATTTACGGTTTAACTCGGCATGTAGACACCAGGCCTTTTGTATGGTTATTTACGCTGTAACTCTGCTTGCAGATACCAGGTCTTTTATATGGTTATTTACGGTTTAACTCGGCATGTAGACACCAGGTCTTTTGTATGGTTATTTACGCTGTAACTCTGCTTGCAGATACCAGGTCTTTTATATGGTTATTTATGATGAAACTCTGCATGTAGATTCCAGGTCTTTTATATGGTTATTGATGCTGTAACTTGGCATGTAGATGGCATGTCTTTTAAATGGTTAGTAACGGTGTAGCTCGGCATGTAGACACCAGGTTATTTATATGGTTATTTACGCTGTAACTCTGCTTGCAGATACCAGGTCTTTTATATGGTTATTGATGCTGTAACTTGGCATGTAGATGGCAGGTCTTTTAAATGGTTATTAATGGTGTAACTCGGCATGTAGACACCAGGTCTTTTGTATTGTTATTTACGTTATAACTCGGCATGCAGATACCAGGTCTTTTATATGGTTATTTACGATGAAACTCTGCATGTAGATTCCAGGTCATTTATATGGTTATTTATGCTGTAACTCTGCATGTAGACACCAGGTCTTTTATATGGTTATTGATGCTGTAACTTGGCATGTAGATGGCAGGTCTTTTAAATGGTTATTAACGGTGTAACTCGGCATGTAGACACCAGGTCTTTTATTCGGTTATTTACGGTTTAACTCTGCATGTAGACACCAAGTCTTTTATATGGTTATTGATGCTGTAACTTGGCATGTAGATGGCATGTCTTTTAAATGGTTAGTAACGGTGTAACTCGGCATGTAGACACCAAGTCTTTTATTCGGTTATTTACGGTTTAGCTCTGCATGTAGACACCAAGTCTTTTATATGATTATTTACAGTTTAACTCTCCATGTAGACACCAGGTCTTTTATATGGTTATTTACGCTGTACCTCGGCATGTAGACACCAGGTTATTTATATGGTTATTTACGCTGTAACTCGGCATGTAGACACCAGGTCTTGTATATGGTTATTTACAGTGTAACTCGGCATGCAGATGCCAGGTCGTTTATATGGTTATTTACGGCAGATGCCACTACTTCAGGTTATAGGAAGTTAAGGTAAAGGGTATCATCTACATCAGTTATGATGGTGAAGAAGAGCTCTTCTCAGTTTTTGGACAAGTATTTTTTTCTATATTGACAATGAGTCACCCAGGCTTTTTCTTTTTCCGCTTAGATCTACTTTCCCTGTGAAGATAATATATGTATCTGACATTTCTCATATATGCTTCCCAGCCTTTCAATTAGACTCTCCTTTGACACTTTGCATTTGAAATTCCCCGATGGCAACATTGGTCAAGTATATGATATAATGTCGCGAGTTCCATCCTTGTGATTTTTCGTTCTTGGTTTTTATCTTCTTATTTTTTATTTTGGAAAATCCAAAATTTTGGAAAAGAATATCTTATAGAAATGAAAATAGTAACAATATACAATGTACTTACCTTGTTGGTACCCTTTACCTTAACTCATTCACCCCTTAAATTTCATGATGAACTATTCCAACCTTTGAACTGCAAGAGTTCAAATGTGTCTTTAGGGGTAAATGATTTAAGGAGCACCAGAAGAGAATATAGCAAAAAGTGAGGGATGTACAAATAAAAGAAAGATGATGTAGCAGGGAGGAAAGAAGAAGTTCAGGATTAGAGGAAGAGATTAATGTGAAGAATAGGGAAGGTACATACAGAAGAAGGAGCAAGTGTGGAAGATAGGTAAGTAAAGAAGTGGAGAGAAGTTGACAGGTACATAGTAGAGAGATCAAGGAGGTAGTGGGACACAATAGCTAAAACAGACAGGAGATATTTGGTTTTACTTCCGCTTCACTACCGAGTAGTTCGATTATCCAGTAGACAAATTGGAATGAGGTAAATGGTCTATTTTTTTAGCTATAATCACCTGTGCCGTCGTACACAGACCCCATCACTGGTACAACATTGTCGATCACAAATCCATCGGATGACTCGGTGTGGTGCTGACCGGAGAGGCTGTAGGCCACAATGTTAGTGTAGTATTTGATGCGAGGGTCGAGCCTGAATCTTGTGAAGTTGTAACTGGTGATGGTGCCGGGAAAACTGGCCGCCACTTTGTAAACATCATCCCCTAGTAACATACAGAACATGATAATTCTCAATCAATGCCATCAATGGTTGATATCAAGTTACAATAGTCAAAAAGAAAATCTCTACAAACAAGAGGTATATGGGGCTAGATATTTCACCTGTGTTTTAGCCAAGTATTCCCTTTCATGATAAGACCAAGATCGGAAGTGGGAAATATGACTGAGCTGAAGTGTATGTTCCAATGATCATACAAACAAGAGACGGACCATACATCATCACTCTATATGTCGATCATGGCTCTCAGGCAGATGCTGTCTTAGGTCTTAAATATTTACCACATTTGAACTCTATGCCCTCAAAAGTGGATTCAGGTAAATTTATTAGAACAAATCTGAAATCACTTCATTCCAGCAAGCTAGAGGCTATATATATATATCACAACTAATTATGATACTGGTTCTTAAGCCTTTAGTCTTTAACCTGGATGTACAAACGTGATAGTTAATAATAAAATTAAAGTGTAAACAACATCATTTTAGTCGTCTTAAAAGATGTCATGTAAAACGTTTGACACATTTGACTCTTGTGACCTTGAAAGAGTTTTGATTTAATTGAATTGAACATTCTGCACAATAGTCTTTCATCCCAGCAAACTACAGTCCATATAGTATCCCCCTAGGCATCATTGAATTGTCCTTTGAAAGATGTCATTGGATATTACAATTTTACACCTGTGACCTTAACAGTGGGTCGCAGACATTAACTTGAATATATCTGATAACCTTTGACCTATACAACACTGACCTATTGACATGGTGCTGAATTATAAAACTTTGACCAAGACTTGACCTATATGATACTGGCCTCCTGGTCTGGTGATGAAATACGTAAAACCATGACCTATCTGTGACACATACTGACCTTCTGCCACGGTGCTGAAATACACAAAATAAAACCATGACCTATCTGTGACAAATACTGACCTCCTGGCATGGTGCTGAAATACATAAAATAAAACCATGACCTATCGGTGACAAATACTGACCTCCTGGCATGGTGCTGAAATACACAAAATAAAACCATGACCTATCTGTGACAAATACTGACCTCCTGGCATGGTGCTGAGGTAAATGTTGAAGGACTTTATGTAGGTATGGGACTGCAGGAACTTGTTTTTCCAGCTCACCATGAAGGGCTGGACCTCCAGGTAGTCCATGTCTTTGTGGCTGTACTTGTGGTTGGATTCAGTCACCTGGACCATTTAATATTGTCATACATGTACAACAGTTTATCATCCAGATTTAGCATTTCTTCTTCACATAAGTATGCACGATACTGTGAAATCATTAATATTTGTGTGTTGTGGTGTTTTTGCAGGAAACCTCTAAATTTGGGCCCCAAGAAAGTATCTGATTTCACAGTAATTCATTGTTTTGAACAAAAACCTGATTTTTTTCATAGATTTTCCCTATATCATAACAAACATGTATTTAAACTAGTGTCTATTGATATAAACATGATAAGAGCGATGTAATTCCAAAACACTGTTGTTGTTATCCGAATATAACTACTATAACTAGTTTAAATGACCTGTCAAAAGCTCAAACTGAATTTCTGGTTCCAATGATTAGCCAAACTTCTAACATATTTTTGTTCAAGTGAGCATCTGAACTTTCACAGCCATTAATGACTTCAAAAATATGTCTTCAAAATAAATAGGCATTAACAAAATCTACACCATTAAAAAGTAAGCAATATCTCCAAACAGTAATGAATGCTGCAAATTTGCAGTCAAATATTTGGCCTTAAACTCATTCACCCCTGAAGACACATTTGAACTCTTCCAATTCAAAGGTGGAATAGTCCATTATGAATTTTCAGGGGTGAATGAGTTAACGCTGTATACTGTGTACCAATATTTGCTGTCACGATAAATTTGCCCTCGTTATTGTGGGCGTAAAAAATAGAACTGTGGCATAAATTTTCTAGTATGCAGTATTGAAACAAGTGGATAAAGCATTATTACAATATGCATCTACTTTCCTTATATAGTTTTATATACCCGTAGGTATAGAAAATAAAAGTTACTTACCGCACTTCCTCGAATTACAGTCGGGGTGGGTGCTATTGTCATTATTGTAACACCATTGGACTTGTATATAGCGTAGACATTGGATGCATACCACACCCTGACGAAGAACGCGTAGGCTATCCCCTCCGACAGACTTGATTTTGCTGTAAAATACAACATATGCTTTTGTTTCTATGGAAGTGTTTATTACAGAACAGTACAGGACAAAAACAGATATTTCTCGATCTTACACCTCATATAATTTACAAACATAAAATTGAAAGTTAAAATAGTATTTTTTGTTTTTACATTGCTCCACTGTATAAGATTTGCGTATCTTGTTTGCCTGACATGAAATCGTCCTGGACTACACCAAACCAGACTTGCCCAAAGTCACTGACATTGCGGGATCATTTGATGACCTATCAATGTCGATTAAAGATGATTTTTTTATCATGACATTAAAGAGCTCATCTTACGCACCTCTGGTCACCAGAAACAAATGCTGCATATTTTGTCCAGCGTCATGCCAAATTCTCTCGTCAGCTTGGTGAAAAATCCCCTCAGGTGAGGCCAAAAATTCATAACCAACGCTCCATTCATACCTGAAAAAGCCCCATTATTATAACAGTTGATGATGCTGCAAGGTTCATAAACTTTTATGGAAAAAATTCAAACACTTTCCGACATTTTTTTTTATATTTCCCGGTAAATGTTTTTATAACATGGGGTCAAGATTTTCTATTTTTGTGTACAGATACTGATAACATGGGGTCAAGATTTTCTATTTTTGTGTACAGATACTGTTGCATCACAATATTTAAAACGAATCAAAAGAGATTTAAAGCAGGAGACCTGGCTATGTTGTAAATGAGGTTCAAATGTGTCCTGTAGTTTGGGAGGAAATGTTGTTTAAAGTAAATCAGCCTATTTTAACCTGTTTTACATGCTCCGCAGCATCCCAGGGGATAGGCAGTTCATCCCTTTTATTTGTGTGGCAGATTTTAATTGTACATAAGATTGCAGTCGCCGTCTAGCTTTGCGCTAGAGGGAATTTCCCTTTAGCTCAGTGGTAGAGCATCCAACTAGGAAGTATGGGAACGTTAATGTGATCCCCAATTGTAGCACACCACTCTATTACCTGTTACGTTTGTATAATTGATGATCCTCTTGGACTAATGGAATCAAGATGCTACCACTAAAATTTTGTTTAAATATGCCTATAAGTTTTTACTTTGAGAGGATAAAAAAGTTGACAGATGACATATGAAGCACAACAACATTTTTCGTAATTATTTTAACGGTTGTTTTGTCCCCAGTACTATATATTCCAGCAATTTCAAGGAATATTGAGCCAGTTCCAGCATTCTTCTAGTATACACTTACTTTCCCTGCACTGAATTTAACTTCAGCATTTTTCATATTTTAATAATTATAACATTAAATATTTCTGATCCTCCATGGTATATAGCTGTCCAGGAAGTCATTGAACAAGCATACATGATAAATACACTTATTTGAACTTTATGCTGGATTTTATTAAGCACATCAAAATACTTCAAAAAAGGTAAATATAAGCAAGCAGTTCAATGCTTAATTAAGTCACATGAAAGGTACAAAGCATGTCTGAAAAAGCCAACACTGAAATCGCTGTAAGTACATGTACTTACCAGAGTGGCTGTAACCCATCAAAGTTAGAAACTCTCCAAACAGCACCGAGCCCCATATTTGTGGCAGTGTAAGCAGTGATCCCAAAGTCGGTGACATCCAGGGGAGAGTTGGGGTTATCTGTGCCAGTGTAAAGTTAGAAAAAAATAAATGTTGATTCATGTTGGAAAGAGGCTTTGAAATATGATAGCAGTAAGGGAGATGCTGAATGGAAGGAGGGACACAATATCGATGTTTTACTGTACATTTAAATGAAATTTCAAATCCTTCTTTCAGACTGAAACAAGTGCTTAAATAAAGTCATTTGTTCAATTGCACTCATTGAAATGGGGTTTTCCTGACTTCAAAATAAATCGTTTAGTAGATCAGGACCATTACAGGAATATCTCTAAGTTCTGGAGCTTATAAAATTTTCCAATATATGGGCCAGAATGATATTCTCAGAAATTCTTTCACTTTACCCTGTGAGGTATAGTTGGTACAGGGGTCCAGGTGGCTGTAAGGACACACGGTGTCCTGGGGGGCACACACACAGTGACCCAGACAGGAGTACGAGTCACAACGACGCATCAGCTCCAGAGACCCACCCGCAATCATCTTAAACATCGAGTGAATGATCGGGCTCGACAGGCCAACCTGTAGACAGCAATAAGGTCATCTAAGGTCAAAGTCACCAGTTAAGTTTAACCAGGTCAATTAGATCCAAAACTATCCCATTGAACTAAACTAGGAAATCTTAATTTTGTTGATTTTCTTTTTTTTTAAATTTCATCTTTATTATTTTTTTCATTTAAAAGTCATGCAAGATATGTTTTCCTTTACAGAAATGATTGATCAAAGCTATGATGGAAATAGCAGTTTTCAACGCATAGTTACAGTACAGGGATCCTTAAGGGGAAAATATATCAGTAGACCTTAATGATGGCCCAAACATGTACGAAGAGTTAAAGGCCTGTATGAGGTCTGTTACTGTGCGTGTACATACCTTATTGACGGCCCACATATGTATGAAGAGAGTGTTAGAGGCCTTGCTGAGGTCCTGTGTGTCTATCTTAGCGCTCTGTATGTGGCCTTCATCGTAAACGTCACTTGTATTGCTGTGTGACACAGACCCAGGTGTTCCAATTATCTGTGAGTGGAAAATTACATTTGGGTGGTCAGGTGGTGTTGCGCACTTGCCTTTCACCAAGGCAACCAAGGTTTGATTCCCCAATTGGACATGAAAAGGTATGGGGTCATCTGCACAACCACATGGGTTTTCTCTGGTTATATATATCTTATAAAGAGAATAATTGAGAACACCAGCCATGTGGTTTTTTTTGTTTTCTTCCCACATTGATGAGAAAAAATATCATAATGAGAATCATATCAATGACCTTTCTTTCCACATTGATAAAGTAGGTTACCTTAATACTGAAATTACTGACACATAGAAACTTTCTACAATAAGGTAGGCTACCCTACAGAGATTACTGGCCATGTTAAGACTTTCCATAGTCATGAGGAAGGTAACCATATTGAGATCAGTAATTGTGTAGTTACTTCCTCATTGAATGAGGTAGGTTTAATACCTTATTGAGATCAGCAGCCATGTAAGTACTGCCCACGTTGATGAAGTAATTAGATACTTCCGAATGGAGATCAGCAAATCCAATCCAAGACAAAAAGAGGGCACGACTAGTCCACGTCATTGAGTTGGGTACGTCACGGTTTATTAGAGATGCATGGTTTGTTTTGATGGAAAACATTCCTGAAACATACCAAATGTTAACCCATTCACTCCTCAAGTCACATTTGAACCTTACCTAATCAGAGACTGGGCAAGTTCAGCTTTAATATGTAGGGGTGTATGAGTTCAAGTGCATGGATTCAATTGAGTAACAACAACCGATTACACTAATATCATATATATTATATATTGAATTCTGTGGCTTCTTGTTTGATAACAATGTTAATTTTGTTTTAATAACTTACAATAACCTTCTGAAAACTTGAAAACTGCAGTTGATAAAGAAGTTTTGTAGACTGCATAGTATTAACTCATAGCAAGTGACCTTGACCTTTAACCTAAAAAGCAATCCAATCCAAGCACTTTAGGCAAGGAGGCTCTGCAATGAGTTGATCTTAGGAAGTTGCTTTGTGAAAATGTGAAATTTTGACAATAAAAAATGGACAGACAGATAAATGGATGCAAAAAAGGAACACACAAACCTCTGGAAGGGGGAGAACTGTCAACAAAGATGGCGTCCGACTCCGTCTGGGTACATTTCCCCGCCCCGTTACAGGCAATGAGGTTCACGTAGTAGTTGACCCCATCATGAAGGTCAAGGCCAGTGAAGGTAAAGTCTCGTAATATTCCATTTACCTTTCAAAAGAAATTAATTATTTCTTAACAAGGGCCTGAAAGGTCACCTGAGTTGTAATATAGTTACTTTTCTTTGTTGAGACATTAAGTGGAAATAATCATGCAGACTTTATCTGTACGTCCACAACAAACAAGATCCCACAGGGATCTTAACACCCACTAAGATCTTTGTTATTTCAGATCTATGTAATTTTGATACTTTTCTGTGATCTGTTTGGTTAATAGTAATTTCAACAGTAATATCTTATTCTTTTGGTAAAGCTCAGTATGAAATGTGCAAAACTAGGGAACAGGAAGAACCTGTTGACAAATTTTAAGTAAAATTAGTTCTTCTGAGAAACAGTGATAATGATGTAACTTCCATGGTAGATTCAAAATGTTAGTGGAACTCAATTGTTCAATTTCATACTCCTCTCTTAACTCATTCACCTCTGAAAGTTAATAATGAACTATTCCAACCTTTGAATTAGAAGAGTTCAAATGTGTCTTCAGGGGTCAATGAGTTAAGGGTGTTTTTTACCAAGTTTGAATGAAAGCCGTATATTGGTTCTTACATCCTTGATACTCCAGGGGTTACGCTCACTTTCACGCTCTGCACCCCTGGTATATATCTTTATAGTCAGTACTTACCTTTGTAGGGGAGAGCTGACATTCTCCATTTCTGTGGGTCTTTATAGACTTACTTTTGTAGGGGAGAGCTGAAATTCTCCATTTCTGTGGGCCTTTATAGACTTACCTTTGTAGGGGAGAGCTGAAATTCCCCATTTCTGTGGGCCTTTATAGACAGATGCTGCCTCTCAATATGAGATTCTTGATCAACTGCAGTCCATGTAACCTTGAATGAATCCCTTAGAAATAGTTTGCCGGACACAAACACACCGAAGTCTGAAGACAGCACGGGTTTGGTAATAACTGGGTGACTGATATCAACTTTAAATCCGTTTGAAACTGAATCCACATACAACCCTGAAACAAATACAACCTCAGAGTCAACACTACAACCATAACTGTGTAATTGTTATGTTATTTACTCTATCAAGTGAAATTCACCAACTAGTAATTCTATAGGCGGAACATTGTTGGTATCAACTATTAGAAAAAAAATACTGCATATATCGAAACTTTTTGCCACATTTTAACGTTTGCCCTTTTCTCCCTCCGCAGTAAAGTAGAGTTCACCATGACAGCAAATATTATTAAGCTGTATACTACTTATAGTAATTCACATGTGAAGGGCGAAATTAACTCTGGGCAAATGGTTAGGTCTAAATTACCAATAATAAGTTAAATCATTAGTTTTTATTTTAGTTTTTTTGTAGTCTATGACTGTGAAGTGCATGCAACCTTTTTACCTGCTTTGTTATAGGCCCTGACTGTGATGTAGATGGTCTGGTCGATAGGTAGACTTGGAACAGTGGGATTGGTTGCCACCTCAGACAGGTGGAGAATTTGCTTGGCCATCACATTATCAGAGCCAGTGTCAGTTCCTGCCCACCATTCATAATGGTCAAGCTCGGACTGCGGATCAGAAAACCCGTACCACTTTGCCCCAATATAAGTCCTGCAAAAACATAAAGACTTGTAATAGATGTCATAGAATTAGCTCACATGTTCTCCCTGATGTTAAAACACTAACTCGTCTTGTAGTTTGTTATCAAACTGAAGAAATTTACCGGTGACAACCTTTTGTTTTCAAGATATAGGAAATACAGTTTTCTTCATGTACAATATCAACCAAATACCAATTCCCACCAAAACTCAAATGCCTAGCATCACGTAGTACTTTTGATATATTGCTGTTTGGAAGAAATGCCAACAAAAGTTTTTTCATTATCCTGTAGTAAGTCCATTTTCCCTACTTTCAGTCAGAAATTAGATGTTGACCCCCTGGGCTTATTGCAGGATAAATACAGTTACTGTGACCTTGACCTTAGGAACATGTTCAACCCTTGTTGCACATCTTCATAGTACAATTCATCATCATGTGATATTTGGAAAATTTTAGACTCCAGGATACTGTAATACATTACAATCTCTGGAAAAAGTGCCGGACACTGATTACTATAGGGCATACACATTTCCAATGTGGGGCCCCATAAAGACACAAGTTATAGTAAAGATGAGTCACTTACGGTACTGCCTGGTAGTGGATGTCCCAGGGAAAGGTCCCGTCCTGAACCACTCCGGCAGTTGGTGGACTGTTATCTAAGATCACTCCATCAGAAGTGACAGAGGAACACAGGTTGGCTGTATTACAGGCCGTCACCGTGGTGTAGTATGTCAAACCCACACCAAGGTGTTTCATGGACAGTACAAACTCTGTAAACACAAACAGAATAAAACACATGTTGTAACCATCACAAAACAAAAGAGAAACCAGAAAATGTCAGCCCCCACCTTGACCCTTAAGTCGGTAGATTGATGACAACAAATCTGCTGACAAAATAGCAACAGTTGACCTATACATAGCAACAATAACCTTGGCATTGACCTTGGAACCCTTACATACATTGGCATTGACCTTGGAACCCTTACATACAAAACTCATCTGAGGTATTCTCATACTTTGCCTTCAATTCCATACTGTCCTTGACCTTTAGCATATACAGGTGCATGTCCGACAACACAAGATACACACAAAGTGATTGATAAATGGACCTCATTATGGCCAGTACACTTTGTTGAGAGTACAAGAGGCCCAGAGGACCTGTATATAAAAACAGGTTTGGTTTGGTTTTATTTGTTTAACGTCCTCTTAACATCTAAGGTCATTTAAGGTCATTTAAGGTCATTTAGGGACGTGCCTCCATGTGTATTGTGTAAGCCTGCAAGTGTGTATCGTGAAAGCCGCTGTCTTAAAAGAAATCCGGAAAAATTGGTCTGCATGTCGTTTTTACTCGTTAGTCACCCAAATCCCGAAAACGTTTGAATAAAGATAAGGAAATTGATATACAGGCAAGTGTTGAAACGATTATGACTTATTAACCTTGTGTACAAATGGCGCTCATTTCGGTACAAATAACAAATGGGGGGGTCTGTGATTCTTCCCTGGAACATCTTGGGCGATTTTCGGAGGCTTGCTCCATGACGGATCTCTACACAACTATAATAAACGGTAACATCGATCTGGGAACATGGTCGTTCCCAGATAAAAACTTTGTTCTGATAAAGTATCTGTGTGTGTTGGGCGACAAAAAACGGACACATTTGACAAGGTCATGCCCATAATGAACGTTTAAAATTTACAAACTACACAATAAAAAAAAAATGAGCCTCGTCTCATTTTTGTCATGTAAAGCGAAAAAAAAAATACCTTCCTGCCTCATCGCTTTTGAAAAAAATTGGCCCGAGAACCAAGTAAAAATATTTGTTTGGCCTTACCCTAAATGTCGACATTAAGCAGAGAATAACAACTACATTTTAAGGACTTTGGTATGTCCCGGCCTGGGGACAGAACCCATTGCCTTCCTCAACATTAAAGCCAAAAGTGAGGTGTTGCCAAGCAAGGCGCTAGGAAATAAAAGGTAGTTAGAGGTAGAAAGAAAGATAAAGATCCCAAATATTGCAATGAGTGCAGCAGATTTATTTTGGTCGCTTTTGTGTCCCTAAATAGAAGACACCAAACCAATTCTGCAGGTGGTTCCTCATTAGTTGCCTCCTACGATACATTCAGTGGGTCACAGCAGGTGAATGGTGAATGGCAAGAAATGGTGTAAAAAGCAATCTTAGATAAAGCATCTGCAATAAGTGAATATTAAAAACTGAATTGTGCAAAGATTTTATTGTAAATGTTGGGAAAATCTTTCCTTTTGCTTATAATACCTACCATTTGTGATACCAACAGCCTGTGTCTCCAACACTTCCTGACAGCCACGACATGTACCAATACTGACGGAATACTCGCGAATGTTGGAGTGTGGATCATGGAAACCTTCCCAAAATGCAGCAATATAACTCCTGTCTGTCTGGAAGTCCCTGTCCAGCATATTGGATGGTTGGTTGTCACGTTTGCCATCGTACACATGGCCTGCAACAGGCGGGGAGAGGTCCACAGTTATGGCCCAGGACGAAGCTTGAGAGTTAAGCCCAGCTCCGTTGTATGCCTGGAAACAATATAATACTACAGTCCAACTTTCTTGACGATAGGGTTGACTTTTTAACATGTTTTCGTTTTCATGTTTTACAGAAACACAAAAACATGTCAAAAGGAGGCCCTGATTTAGACCTTAGGTAGAATATTCTATTACATATAATGTGTATCACTTGGCTTGGTACGAAACTCACCCTGACTCCTCGTAATCGTAGTATCTTACCTTAACTGTTATGTAGTATGCATGCCCTTCATGAAGGTCAAGGATCACATTTTCATCTTGAACAGCACATACAATATCTCCCACGTCTGTGTATGATAGGATATCGTCGTAACCTGGCTCTGACCCTACAGCCCATGTGTACCGCTGTATCCCACTCTCAAGGTCGTCAAATACTTCTATCCAGCTGTCGACACACAAGTAAAACAAATATTACTGAATACCAAGGACATTTTCGCTGTAGTTTAATTTAGCCTTTTTTGTCCTCTGAATAAGGGTGAATTTATCATTATAGCAAACATAAGTAAAGAACATAATATTCATAGTTATTAAATCTTAAGGGCATAATCAAAACTTGGTGAATATGGATTTAACCGGCCAAGTGCTGAAGTTTGACTTGGCAAAAATTTCCCCCATATGCTGTATTTAATGCCGAGGAGAAAACGTTCTGCCCGAGTATTGAAATGAGAGTTCTAAAGTCAGCTTAGTCATCAGAAACTGGTGCAGATTTCAATACTTCATTTGAACTATAGTAAAACCTCTTATTACTTTAACATATTTCTGGCATATCATGATTAAAAGATTTGGGAGTGACACACCGTGCTAATATCATGGGAGTTCAGCACATGACAATTGTGTCTAGCAGACAGGCAGGACAGATTTTGCTTTCATCCTGATCAATGAGCCAGCATATAAAAAAGAACTAACAGGATTAGTTCATAACAGATTAAGTACATTTCAGGTCATCGGGATATCAGAACTGAAATATAAAGTCAACATCAGAACAGGTGAACCCACCAGGCTCCTATTCCTGTCCGCGAATTGAAGTGTCGATCAATCACGATTGGCTTGTCACTTTTACGGGGCGGAGTCACATCTACGACGACACCAGGGCTTGTCTGAGTGGTGTTTCTCCTGGCGAAGTCCATAGCTATAGAGGAAACAACCAACAGGGGTCACTGTCATACTCTTGTTAGCTATCATTTAATTAGGAATATCCGGAAAGTTAGCAATACAAAGCAATAACCTTGAAACTTGGAAAAAACGAAGCGATGTGGTGAAAACTTGGCAATATTTAGAAATATTCTGAAAGCTTGGCAATGATTTTAAGAAAGTGAATTTATCATTATATTGCACCATAATTTTTAAAACCAGTGAAATTTGAAAATTGAACAATACTACACAAAAACAAATAAATCCCCAGTAATTTTTGAGAAAAAGTCGAAAATGTAAAATGTTAATGCACGACGATGGACAATGATGGACGATGCATGAAGACGGATTGCAATAAAAAAAAAATGAATATTAATATGTACACAAAATAATCTGTGTTAAGAGTAAGAAACTACAGTTGTACCCTCAATACATGTAGACACTTTTTACCTGTTACTGTCGCGTAGTAGGTGTGGCCGTTCTGGAGCTGCAGACCGTGGAAAGCAATGTGGTTACTTGCCCCTACATCAGTGAAGTCTACCATATCATTACCTCCGGCAGTCGTCCCTAGAAAACACAGATATTTTAGACATTGACAAATAATATCTATTATAATGTAGGCTGGATAGTGGAACATGTACATTTCTCCCTAACATAGGATTCAGTTTTCCTTGTCAGTGGTTAATTTTTTGGATAATTTCGGTGAGAAATAACATCATGAGTTGAAATGCTGTTAATTCCGTTTCAGTCATCGAGGAAGAAAATAATTATTATATTAACACATTGCCTTTGATGTTATACAGATTTGGACATCAAGTTGGGAGGTCATGTGACAATAGCATTTAATGGAACCAAAATATTTGGAACTGACATTCTTGTTTTAATTCATCTATTTGGTTGTGGAAAACAGCCATGGAGATCCAGGCCAAAAAGGACTTCTGGTTAATTTTGAACAAGGATAAATATATAACATTTTGTATATCATTGCATATTATTTATATGAGGAGTTACCTATGCTAACATTGTAAGACATTTTAGAGTGTTCCACGCACACGTTATGACTGAGTTACCTATGCTAATGGTGTAGTAAGACATTTCAGAGTATTCCAGTCAATATGAGGGAGTTACCTATGATAATGGTGTATTAAGACATTTCAGAGTATTCCAGTCAATATGAGGGAGTTACCTATGATAATGGTGTATTAAGACATTTTACAGTATTCCAGGCAATATGAAGGAGTTACATATGCTAACAGTGTAAGACATTTAAGAGTATTCTATAGTCAATATGAGAGAGTTACCTATGCTAATGGTGTATTAAGACATTTCAGAGTATTCTATAGTCAATATGAGAGAGTTACCTATGCTAACAGTGTAAGACATTTAAGAGTATTCTATAGTCAATATGAGAGAGTTACCTATGCTAATGGTGTATTAAGACATTTCAGAGTATTCCAGGCAATATGAGGGAGTTACCTATGATAATGGTGTATTAAGACATTTTACAGTATTCCAGGCAATATGAAGGAGTTACATATGCTAACAGTGTAAGACATTTTAGAGTATTCTACAGTCAATATGAGGGAGTTACCTATGATAATGGTGTAAGACATTTAAGAGTATTCTATAGTCAATATGAGAGAGTTACCTATGCTAATGGGGTATTAAGACATTTCAGAGTATTCCAGGCAATATGAGGGAGTTACCTATGCTAACAGTGTTAAGACATTTTAGAGTATTCCAGTCAATATGAGGGAGTTACCTATGCTAATGGTGTTAAGACATTTTAGAGTATTCCAGGCAATATGAGGGAGTTACCTATGATAATGGTGTATTAAGACATTTCAGAGTATTCTACAGTCAATATGAGGGAGTTACCTATGCTAACGGTGTATTAAGACATTTCAGAGTATTCCAGTCAATATGAGGGAGTTACCTATGCTAATGGTGTATTAAGACATTTCAGAGTATTCCAGGCAATATGAGGGAGTTACCTATGCTAATGGTGTATTAAGACATTTAAGAGTATTCTACAGTCAATATGAGGGAGTTACCTATGCTAACGGTGTAAGCCTGAATGCCTGTGGAATGTGAAGCGGTACTGTACTCCTCCACATCTACAAATGTCTCCCAGTTCACATAGATATCTGTTAGTGTCGTCTGTAAACAGAAGAGGATATGAAATGTTAAGGCATTAAACAAAATATTAATTAGGGAAAACTATGGTGCTTGTAATATTTCGTAATGCAAGGGCAATAACTCTGCATAAAAGGGATAATTAAGGATTGACCGTCAGTTTGACTGCGTATATGGTAGTATGAACGCAGTTGGCAATGAACATATTACGCGCTCCATAAAGAATATGTTTGTTGCCAACTGCGTTCATACTACCGTATATGCAGTCAAACTGAAGATCAATTCTTATATTTTCATATTTTCCTACTATGATGGTACACTCAGAATAAAGCTTACTCCAATACATTTGCTTTTATAATGGTACAAAGCCTCCGTAACGTACGTAAATCCAAACAAATGAACAGCCTATAGCCTGTGAGCAGCGATGGATCTCCAACGTTACCATTATGACGTCACAATGTAAATTACGTCATCAATAGGAAACAATGGTCTCCAAGGAATCTCACTGCGTATACGGTAATTTATACACAGTCACAGTTTACACAGCTTCAATGGGAGCGAATGTAAATATAATGTTATATAAAGTGAACCTCTTATTAAGACATTGTGGAAAATAGTCAATAAATCAGATAAGGATATTGAAGTTAGGTTCAAAGGGGATAACTCTGCCAAGAAGGGGAATAATCCATCTGCAACAATTTACAAGAGGCCCATAGACCATCTGCCTTTTTTGGAAATTAAGTGGCCTGGTATCTTTGATTTCAAATCAGCCCAAAAATTCACAAATGGTAATGGACAATCGTTTGCACCAACTTTGATTACAGTAGCTATCAAATCTGGAGAAAATAAAGAAAATGCTAGACCCCTATATACACTGTTCATATAATCAATATACTATTGCCTTGCCCCACAGATGCTGAAAGCCATGTTAGGTCAAACTGTCCTAGTTTTAACTTGTAAGTTGAAATATTAGGCTGTTACCTGGAACATACTGCCAGGGGTGTGTCCTATCCACACGTTACCAGGGGTGGGCGGGGACAGGTCCACCACCACACCATCACTGCACACGCTGACAGCCTCCAGTGTCTGGACCCAGGTCTCTTGCTGTATGACAGTAATGTCCGCATGTAGACACACAATGTAACGTGATCCATGCTGCAACTCCCCTGGACCAAACTCGATATTAACATACTCTTTATCTAAAAACCAAAGACAAGATATTACAGATAAAGTAATTTTCCAATGAAAACTAGCTACAGTAAGGACAGTTTATATTTCCTTCTGAACCCTACATTGTTAGTTAGGATGCTAGACACCATAGTTTAAGTGATAGGTATTTCAGATTGTTATTCCATTTCCTCTGAACGTTACAGTGCTATGTAGGTCTAATTGTTCATTGATTCCCTCAGAAAGCTACTGAAAGGCAGTTCTGATTACTTTAACAGCTTGCATGTTGAAATGGCCATGTATTTTGTTTCTTAGAACAGAAAGGTTTAATCACAACAGATTCTCTATGAAATTTACCAAGAGTAAGTTGAGATAACATATATATATTTCAATAAGTCAAATTGCCTTCTAAAAGCTTCAATACATTTTAGTTTAAATGACTATCCCTTCATAAAGCTACAGTTAAGTACAGATCATATAACTTCATGTAAAATCTAGAGTAAGGCTACGCAGATTACTTAATTTTCTTTAAAATCCAAAGTTACCATGTTACTGTATATTTAGCATTAAACTCATTTTAGTTCTCCATGGACAATAATAAATTCATTCTGTGTGATCCAATGCTTCATGAACTACATGAAGTATTAATTTAAATGCACTGGGAAAGGTTATGATTTACCTGTGTGGCCACACTTGAGACTATCGGGGTGTGAGCATGGGTCAGGCAGAGAAAGAAGACTGGTAGGACGGTAATACGATGTCACATCTACTGCTAGGCTCCTCAGCACTGCGTAGGTGTAGTTACGGTGTCGCAGATGCGGCCACACAGCGGAGATCATGTTTGAGTATGGAGTGTAGTCTACATCATGAAACGTCCACAAAGCATTCTCTTTAAGGAAGATTTCTTTGCCGTAGTCATTTTTCACGGTGCCCGCTACAATTAATAAACTCTTTATTACACGTCTCTCTCATATAACTTACGAATTTCCTAGATTTGGTCGAAAATTATTCATAGTCATGATGCCTATTGTACCAACTTTGGCCAATAACAGCATCGGTCTTAAGTAAATAAAAGCAAACTGCTCCCCATCCCCTCCGTTCCTTAAAGTGGTCAGGTGTAACGTTTGACCCTTTGACCTTCACAGATGACAACCAGAATCAAATCAGGTATTGAGTTTGGTGCTATCTTGTAAATACAGAATAAATCCTGTTTTGTCTGCGAGATATATTTTTACTTCAAAAGTGGTCAAATGTGACCTTTGACTTTGACTTGACCATCAAAATCTAATCAGGTATAGAAACTGATGTTAACCTAAAATGGTGTAAATCATTGAGATATCATGTACACAAGCTTTTAACAACAGTTGGATGGACACAGATGTACACATTGGCACATTGACAAATATAAGTAAAACCCTGATATAATGCCCCTTGTTTATACAGTCAAACCGTGATATAATGCCCCTTGTTTATACAGTCAAACCCTGATATAATGCCCCTTGTTTATACAGTAAAACTATGATATAATGTCCCTTGTTTATACAGTAAAACCCTTATATAATGCCCCTTGTTTCATTTGCCAACTCATTTACTGCCAACATGCTTCAATGTTTTTTTTCTTGTTTTCTTCAGAATTTCTTTATAAGTTTCCCTCATTTTATCACCAAACCCCTTAATAACGTCAAGATTTCTCTTGACAAATGGTGGCAGTATAACAAGGTTTTACTGTACTAAGATATAAAGAACTGTTAACACAAGACACAACATACAGTAAATCACAAATGCTATTCTTTATTGGGGGACTACACTTACTTTCATCATACTCCTGTTCACCCACAGCATCTATGATGGTATTTGGGTTGATCAGTATCGGGGCAAAGGCTGCACAGTCCAAGATCTGACTGGACACCACTGACCACAGATTGGCCTTGTTGTAGCCCCGGACAGAGAGACGCTTACATCGAGAGAAGTCCATCTCACCGGTCAGGCTCAGTTCAAAGGTCATCTGCAGCATACCATTACAATATTTACAAATATATGCTACGTTTAACCATTAAATCTATGATTTGTTGAAGAGTTTCCTCCCTTAGTATATTTTTAACAATCCTTATAGACTAATTCAGAATTACCTGAGCGCTATCAATCGACATACTCTTATGTACTTTTCAAATGTGTCATAAATTCTTGTGTACATTGTATGTCACAAAAGTGTTATCAATTCTTGTGTATCTTTCAAGTTTGTCATTAATTCTTATGATCTTTGAAACCTTGAAATCAACAGTCTTACCTTTTCTGAAGATATGGTGAAAGTGTCTAGATTTGTCCACTTTGTGAAGATCTTGCCACTGACAGAATTATCAGTGATAGCCCATTCATATTTCTCTACGGCCTCAAATTTGGCAGTAGGGTCAGCAATGTCAGAATCATAGAAACGATCCATCTGTACCATCAGCTAGAGTAACAGAAAGGACCCAGTTTAGTTTATACATATAATAAATGCATATTGTATAATATAAGCAATACATGCAAAAAGACATGTTTGATTTTAACATGTTTTTCTTTCCATTTTTCTCTCTTTTAAAAAAACCAACTTATTCTGAAAAAAAATTCTTAAATGAAATACAAACCTTCTCCACCCCTCCACCAGTGGTAAGGTTGAAGTGGGTGACCAGCAAGTTTCCGGTGACTGGTGGACTCGAGAGGATCAGGACACCGTCAGTATATATCGGGGCGTAGCATGTCATGCCAGCACACAATTTGAGGGCAACACGATACGAACGTCCTGGTAGAAGGAGGAGGTCATTTGCCTCTGCTTCAAATGACGTTGACAGGTGCTCAAATTCACGTACCACGGTCCATATACCTGTCAAATCAACATAATCTTTATTCAATGAAATTGGTTTTATGACTTTTTAAATCTTTCAATTTTACATTATTTCAGAAAATTGCTAGCAAACTAGCATGAAAATAAGTCATGAAAATTGAGTGATTTAGAGTACATACTAGTAGCATTTGCAAATCCGATTCAGAATATGAAGGATTAAGTATAAAATCAAATCTCCACTTGAAATTGTTCTAATGATGATAAAAGTATATATGCTACTTATTGGAATGTGTTTGCTTTTGCCAAAATGTGCTTGGAAATTTTATATCCTAAATAAATTACAGTTTTGAAATTTTATTTCCACAAAAAAGATCCAGTATGGGAGTTTATTCATGCAAAATTAAACAGTAACCTATTATCTGGCTTACCTCCCCCTGCTGCATCTTCCTCTTCAACTGCCCAGTGAGCGTCTGGAGTGTAGTAGCGTATGGCTGATGGAATGGTCCAGTAGGCCTGTATAGTGCTGAGTGATGTCTGGTAATTCCTCTCCAAATCACAGCGTACACGATGATCCTAGAAAATATAGCGCTATATACAGAGATTGATCTATTTACATGAGTGAAAGGACTCTTATACCTACAGCTGGGATTTAACCCAGAAAAGCTTTATTTCTGTAGTAAATAAATGATAGCACTTTAAAATTTATGTCAGTGCAAAACAAGAATAAAGAAAAATAATGTTTTAAGCCACAGAGATATCATCAAATAAGTACAAATTATTTTGCTTTGTACTGCTTGCAATTGTTAACAGAAAAATGTGATATTAAAACAACATTTCTTCATTACTCGTTATACAAATTTATAAGAATAATATAATGATTTCCTGATATATGATGAACTAGGAAATGTCTGTAAGACATGAATATGCTCATACAAGTTGGTGTCAATGATGAATAATTTCTATAAATAGTAATGGTGTACTTTGAACACCGCTACCTTACGTAGAAACTTCCGCGTGATTAAGGATCCAATTAGCATTGGGGAAATATTGATCTATTGGTGATGGGGCTAATATTTAACTAGGCAAGAATTTCCCAAATTGTGCTTCTTGATTCTATTACTATTAGAGCACCCATAGATATTTTCAGAACACACTTACCTGTTCATGGTGATGGAACAGTGTGCCATTATCCACTGAAAGAGAAACATAATTACTTCATTGAATGGTGTAAATTTGTAATATATACGTAAACTCTACCAATCAGAGCTCCACTTACCCGAATTATAATAATCTGTACTCAACTCCTAAATCAATCTTCATTATGATGGACTTCATTAATCAATCTGGACTCCATTAATCAATTAAAACTCCTCTGGTCAATTTGAATATCAATAATATCAACTCCATTAATTAATACAAACTCCATTATGGACTGAACTTTACTAGTATGGCATCCAATCAGTTTTGTCAGAACTAATTCAGAAGTTAGTATTTTAAATTCATCAATAATGTGTCAAGTGTTTGGAATAACATTATAGGCTCAACTGGTACTATTGATTAGTTTATAGGCTCAACTGGTACTATTGATTAGTTTATAGCAAACACCCTAAGACTTACCAGTAAAGTTGCACAGCTTTCCATCAAACACATTGACCCCTGTGAGTGTTGCCCCCTCCTGGACAACTGTGATACCGTCGGACGTCACATTGACACTGCCCACAGATGTCACAGCCTCGACGGTGAAGTAGTATGTCTGAAAAATCAACCACAGATTTAACAACTAAGTACATGTAGTGTATTCATCTCCTCGAGCCAATCAGATCGTAGATAGTGTACTCGCCTCTCACCAAAATGACCAGGGTTTGATTCACCGACTGCAACTGAAAAGGTTTTGGGGCTACCTGCCAGACCACATGGGTTTTCTCCAGGTACTCTGGTTTTCTCCAACAAAAGACCCCCTGCACATTAATACCCGGGGCAACAAAAGTAAATAAGATAAAATGAAATAACTAATTTCTTATTTGTTGTAAAATAAATAAAGTTTCCATTATATTTCACTGACATGGCCGGGTAACACTGTAAGCCCTTCCTCCCCATAAAATGGCCAGGACATAATAAATAAAGACAACATATCATGTCCAAAATTAATCAATATTTTAAGAATGTCTCTCACCTGCCAGTGGACCAGACTGAGCCCAGTTTTCTCAAATGCGAGTTGTGATGCAACACTAGCAGGGCCATAGATCTGAGCTCCTCCTGGGGTTGTACCTATAGCGATACGGTAAGTTATATTCAGATAGGGGTGGTCAAACTTCATCCATCGGGCCTGAAGTTTGGTCTGGTCAGTTTGAAAGTCTGAGTCCTCAATATCCTGTCAGGAAAAAACAAAGATGGATGTCAAGTGGTTTTCTGGAATACTCTATTATCGCTTAACTCATTATAAATTTGTATTCACTCAAGAGTTGTTTTTGAACTACTTAACTACTTCACACTCATGTTTTGAGATACAATGTTTTTTTAGGAATCTAAACATTTTCTTTGCTGTAAAGTCCTGAAATCTCAAGTTTATTTATATGCACTGTAGTCTAAATTGATCTCAAAAAGGAAATTATCATTTATTTTTGTAACTATCTGATGAAATCAGTTTATTAATGAAACAAATATAGAACTTTTTTGCTGCTATACACTCTTTGTAAAATAGGTTTGAACAGAATCAAAATTTACTTATTGCATAACTAACTTACCGTGTAGGGCACAGAATCCTTATCACTCTGAAATGAAACAAACAAGTTTTAATGAAACACAGCAATAATTAAACCAAAAGTTGCTATAATCCAGTAACATCAAAACACGACATATACTTTGTTTCAAATCAGAAACTGCTAAGATCTTTCCATCATACTTCATAGTGATCAGAAACCAATCATGATGTGAATGATCAAATCCAAATTATGACAGAGATTCGCAAATAGTTTCCTCATCTAACGGAAATGGAAACCATAGAAAATATTATCTTGCTCCCACAAAAATGACTTTTCTGGTAAAACAGTTTGTCGAAAAAGTAATTTGAACTGAAAAATGATAAAATAATTTTGCGCCTGTTATTTTGAATATGTATATTGTGCCTTGTTTAACTGCACATCATGGAATAACTTTAAACGGACTAGTGTTGTATACCACCATAAATGTGAGAAAGATAAATTTCAATTCTTATTTAAATGATTTTTTTTACATGAACTCCAGTTATTATCAACAGTCAGAAAAGTTTAACTTACCCCCACTGGGACATCTAGGACCACACCCCTGGCAGCCAACTGTACATCATGGATGTATGCACTTGAGGTTGCCATGACGAAGAGACCCACAGAGTTCTCAGCCCTCACAGTGACATAGTAAGAATGGTGACCATGAAGATCCCAGTCAAGATCAGCCACCAGGGCGGCTGTACAATCAGGGATCACGCTTAGGGTACAGGTGGCGCCCCCTGACAACGGTTTGTACTGCTGGACATCCACTGCATACTCACTGTGTCCTAAGTCACGAACAGATCAGTGTTGGGCAAATTACGCACAATATTATTTCACTCAAGATGGAATAGTTATAGGGGTTAAGGACCCCTTAATTAGGGGGTTTGGAGGCCCATTGCTTCCATTATTGATCTAAAACACTTTAACAGTTTGCAGGTCACAATTGTGAAATTGAATAATGATCCCATAACTCCTTATTTACACTTATAGGTATAAGTTATGAATAACTTTGATGTGTGGTCGATGAAGGTCAAGATCCATTTACATCTATACAAATATGTTCAACTTACCGGTAGCTACTGTAATGTAAAATACAATTCAGGAAAAACCTTTTATGTTGACACTGTAGCTCAGGGTTTTTTCAACACTAATCTTTGTGTATATGTCTCTAACTTGGGGTAAAAAAATGTGGACACAGAACATTTCCAGTCCCCTTTATTGCTGTGAGTTTTTACCTATGGCAAAGGTGTAGAACAGCTCATAGTACTCCTCTGTATCCTGGAAAGCTGAGGAAGTCCAGGAAGCAACCAGATACTCACTAACCAAGGTCAAGGCCACTGCTCCGCTAAAGGTCGGGGCTGTGGTGTCCAACAGGAACGGTCCGAGTGTCTGGAAATGTCAAAAATACAATGAAATTGAATATATAAACATCCACAGTGCTCATTTTCAAATTATTTATGGAAAAAGATGAGGCTATGACAGTGTTTTTCACATTTCTGACACATCACAGAAACACAAAACCTTCTGTTTTAAAAGTTTATTACTTTATTGACAATTTCTTAACTTCCTATATACACATGACCAGTTCTGAAAAACTCACATTGATAAGTTTTGCAGTAACTTTTGAAATTATCTGAACAGGAAAATTCAATTTTCAGTAAGTGACCTTGGTCTTTGAATACACCAAAATTCAATGGGGATATTCTCTTTCGAAGGGCAACTCAAACAATAAGCTGAATGTTATGCATTCAATTTTTCTGAAGCTACCATCACGAAAAGTTAAATTTGTTCTGTTGAATTCTGTTGAATTCTGTTGAATTCAAGTTTTAGTAACGGTAACCTTGACCTATGACGAATAATGCCCTTAAAAGGCTTTTGAATGTATGGAAAAGCTAGATGTTTTTATTTTTCTATTGATGTATTACAAGGAATGAACTCACCTGTATATTTTCTGTCTCCGTCTTGCTGATGGTTTTGATGGCCATGTAGAACTGGACACCTGTTGAGACATCCTCATGGTGGAGGGTGATGTGCGTATTTTGTTTTGTGGAAACGTAGCCAAAAATATTCGGAGCAGCACTGCCACCAGCTGCACTGGCCAGTCCAAACTCGTGATCAAACACCCCTCCAATGGTGTCCTCGACCATCCAGGAAACTGTCAGACTAGAAGACTTTCGAAGCATCATTGCGACGGGTGAAGGTGCTCCAGTGCTGTTGTCACAGAATGTGTCTCCGTCCACTACAACCTCGGTCTGGTTGGCATAGCGGGTCCTCGGAAACAGTTCAAGGTCGGACACCACTGTGGCTTTGGCACTGTGTGTAGAATTCAGTAATTCACTTCCATTTAACAACCATTTTTTACAAATAGATACATTCAATTTTTCTCCTCTGTTATTCATCTATAAACAACCATACAAGTGAATTATTTGGATACATTACAGCTTATATACCTTACTAAAATAAAGATACATTTAATGCAGAATCAGAGATGTGTTCAAATAAAATCCTTCACTTTGTGCGGGTGGAGCGCCACGGGTGGAGCGCCATGGGTCCAGAACTTGGTGGTATAGCAGCATATATTCAAACGAGAACTTCAAGACTGAAGTGGAGAAGGGCTAAGATTGTGCCTAAATTTTCTATTTTGTTAAGATGTTTATCTCCAATTTGGTGATTTCTTCCATTTTGAAGTTCTTACCGACAAGCTGCTGAGGTAGATGAAAGTTGCCTCAGGGAGCGGTCAGTATCTAGTATCCATACGGCTGTAGCTCCAGGGTCAGTCACAAGTCCTCCTCTGACCTTGGCCGTATCCACGGAGATCTCACGGACCGCTGTCACACCACTGTCGATCGTGACTCCATCCGAACACACTGGTGTAGACGGTTCCAGGGCATGGTTGAAGGCCACCACTGTTACAAAATACTCTCCATCACTTGTGGCTGTGTAGCTAACATCAGTGTCGGTTGTCTCTATCACCTAGGTAACAGAACAAGAGGCCCATGGGCCTTAACGGTCACCTGAGTCCTACAGTATTTATTTTTGTTGTTGAAATATGTACCAATTTGAGTAAAAAATAGTTAAGTATAATGGCAGCCAAATTGTATTTCTGATTGACCCGAAAAATAACAACACTTTGTCAGGACCATGATTCGATCATTCCTACAAACTTTCAGTTCAATCGGCCCAGCAGAACTTGACTTTAAGTTTGAAATGTAAAATGTTAACGGACGACGGACGACGGACGACGACGGACGAAAACGGATAGCAATAGGTCACTTGAGCTAAAGCTCAGGTGACCTAAAAACCCATTCCAGGAGCAATTATGCCTTGATCCAGGTCCAAAATATAGGTCACGGTGATCAAATTATGGCTCAGGATATTTCAATTTCCATACATGTATCTGTTGCCTACATTTGATGATTAAGCCTGAAAAAGTGGGGGAAAATGCTGTGGAAACAATTTCAGATTGAGGTCAGAGAATGATTTATAAGTCATACAGACTAAGTTGAGGTTCGTGATATTCCATCTTGGCTTTAAAATGTGCCTGGGAACCACGTTTGATGACCCTACATGATGAAGTATCAGAAATTGTATGCAGAGCAATGTTTCTGTGAATGGGGTCAGTGGTTAAAATATAGGTCACAGTAACCTAGTTTTGTTATGTGATACTGTGGCTATACTAAACATACACAGTTAAGGATATTGCATGAAATAGTAGTCCAACCAGTCCTGTATTAAGAAATCTTGAGGAGTCCTAGAGTGGTCTCTTTATACAGGTGGTTTCTTGATAAAAGTTCCTTTCAATGAAATCATTACAATGGAGAATATTACAAGAGGCCTTGTAACACAGATGGTCTCTCGATTTAATGAAAGAGGTTGCATGAGCAGTTTAACTGTAGAAATGTTCTGGAAACCATTAGACTGAATGCACAGACACACAGAGACATAGAAACCCAAGGAGATTTCTATCTATATCCCCGGACTTTGATTTTTGGGTACCTTATAAACACAGAAATGACACTAAAATCCAGGTGTCAAGTCAAAATAGGAACAAGTGTGAATCCATTTAATTTCATGATTCATTCTCTAAATCAGAATTTGGAACAAACTTCTATCTACATGGTAATTAACGTTAAATCTTACCAAAGACACAACGTAATAGCTGGTGTATCAAAAGTTGCATTGACCCCTTCACCCTTGAAGTCACATTTCAACCATTCCAAATTCAAGAATGGGCAAGTCCAGTTTAAATATGTAGGGGTGAATGGTTAATAGTATGGGAGATTGAGAAAATGAATTGGTTATATACATACATTTGGGTCAGTTGAGTCCAGGACCATGGTCGCTGCATCTTGACAAGAGGTTGCGAACTTGTACAAATACATCTTTACGCCACTCTCGCGGTCAAAAAAGCCTTCCCAGTGTGCATGGAGGTTGAATGACTGCTGATAATCGACCTCTAGCGACCCTCGTACTCCATCATGGACAACTCCCGTGTGGGGCGGGGACACATCAATCGTTATCTACAACAGAACAACTTGTACTAAAAACTTCTGTGAAATTTTCACTCTTTATTAGTATATGGCCATCCTTAAGGAATTGTTCGCTTACAGTTCCCCTACTAGCATTTGTTTAAAGTTGGTAGGTAGGTACTACATTTCTATGTATGTCATATTTTTATATAAAACGCACGAACTTTCAGTGACTTTTGAGCAGAAAAAAATTGAATGAAAAGCCCCAAAAAATGTTTGAGTTTACCAAGGTGCTATCTTTAGTGGGTTGGTCAGGAAACTGCAAACAAACATTTTTTTTAAGGACGGCCTCATCTATATATGGCCAGTGTAAATTGCACACATCTCATTAGAATTACCTTATATACCATACACTGTGTAGTAATTTTACTGTGATGATGAAATCACTCTCATTATCGATTTTTTTTATCAAGTTTGTCAATTGTTGCTACTTTTCTCAGTAATCAGGAATCAAAAATCTTGTGTAACAAGTGAGTGTGTCCATTAATTAAGTCCCGGAGACTAGATTATCAGATAAATATACTAAGATATAGACAAAGTGTTGTGCAAAAATCTGCCCCTGGAATACAAAAAAAGTCCAGTGTAAAATAAACTAATGATGAAAATGAATGAGTTTTGAATAGATATGATATACATTTAAAACATTTGTCAGTTCAAACTGCATTACAGGGGAAATCGTTGAAGCTGAAAGCAAAGTGCCCTTTTCAAAAATGTTCAATCAATATAAAACACTGAAGGAGCCATTGTATGTAAAAGAAAAAGAAAATGAAAATAGGAGGGGCACCTGTAAAGTTTTGAGGGGACTAGATGTAATGTCCCACCAAGGACTATCCCTGTCAAGTTAGTAGGTTCACTGCCAACATTCACCCAGAGCATCGTGTTAATTTGGCACTATCAGTAATCTCCCTTGTTGACGCTGATGACCTACCTTCTTCCTGAGTGTGGTTACAAGTTTGGCGATGTTCGTGACCTGGATCTCTATGTAATAGTCGGAATCATGTTTCCCATTGGCATGTGCAAGGACCAGCCCAGCACCCAGCTTGATTTCCGGTGTCACTGTGAAGTGCTGATGGAAACAGCCCTGATACGGTGAACAGTAACAATCTCCGGGATCCCCACCATAAGTGGCTTGGCAGGAGGCGAGATCCTGTTCAAATTGTATCATTCAATTATTATTAATATGTTTTTCTCCTTTTTAATTGAATATAAGAATAATAGATAAAACTGTTCTTTTTATTTTATATTTCTGTAACAGGTAAGAGAATAGTGTGCTTCCCCGAGGATTAAACCCTTGATCGACAGGTTCCTAGCCGGACGCTCTACCACTGAGCTAAAGGTAAATTCCCTCTAGCTCGAAGCTAGAAGGCGACCGTAATCCTATGTACAATTAAAATCTGCCACACTACTTCCCCCTTTTTAAATGTATTCTCCCTCGAACACCACAACCCAGGTTCTAACTCCTTGTCACCACAGGGAGGGCCACAGACACCATTTGTAACAGGAAAGAGAACAGTGTGCTTCCACCAGGGATCAAACCCTCGATCTCCAGGTTCCTAGTCGGACGCTCTACCACTGAGCTAAAGGGAAATTCCCTCTAGCTCGAAGCTAGAAGGCGACCGTAACCCTATGAACAATTAAAATCTGCCACATTTCAACAAAGAAATTAAGTCCTTCACAAGGTTTTGCCTGACCAACCAAGACCAGCATTAAAATTATTTGACCATTGAGCCCTTGTGACCTTGAATTTGGAGACTATTATAGAGTTGCACACTACCATCTGGGCCAACAAGAGTGACTAATACCTATGTCTGTAGAACTTGCTATATAAGTTGTAAAAAAAAATACAGTTTTATTTAATTCTGCGATACATGGCACAGTGTTTTGCTGTGATATATTTTCAAAGTTTTATCAAAACAAATTATTATGCAGTTAAAAAGCGCTGGCCTGTTATAAAAGCACTAAAATGTCTCTTGAGGTATCGAAGACGTTGACATTGAGATATTTGACTGAACATATCAAGCTATGAAGTTAATCATTTAGAATTTAGGCATTTCAGAGTAATTGCCTATATAATCATTTTAATGGTTACAGATTTGACCCCTTGCTGTGATGTTGCTTTATAGGTACATGACATACAACCTATTCAGGACACATATCAATCTATAAAGTTCTGGCAAAAATAAAATTTAAAGAAATTCTGAACAAGAACATGGTTAAAGGCTGACACTTTGCAAGTCTAAAATCCATGATCTTTTATCAGTAGGGAACATATAAATGGCTATAAATATAATGTTAAAATGTGATTGCCGATACTTTAATTTATTGACTATTCGTCAAAGTCGTGTCAAAGTTACGTATTGTTACGTACATCTTCCCGTTGTGAGACGAGATCCTCATGGCCGTGCTGTATAACAGTGTCTGTGTAATTGTCGTAGAGCTTCCAGTACAGAGTGTCTATACCACTATGGAAGTCATAGGTCTCCCACTCAATCCTGTAACAGTTCAAGGCAACAATTATTTAATTAACAGCCGGGGATTTATTCATCTAGTTATACCACAACAGGGCATCAACCACTTAATTACAACACTAAATGGCATCAATCTTTTCATTATGACACCACAAGACATAAATCATTTAATTGTACCAGGAAAGAAAATAGTGTGCTTCCAACAGGGATCGAACCCGCAATCTCAGTCTTCCTAGTCGGACGCTCTACCACTGAGCTAAAGGAAAATTCCCTCTAGCTTAAAGCTAGAAGGCGACCGTAATCCTATGTACAATTGAAATCTGCCACATAACTATAACACACCTCATATTTTCCAAGAAATATGTGTTTGGTCATTTTTACCTTAATCAGTGAAATACTTAATTTATGTAAAGTTTCTATCTATGACAAACGGCTTACTGATGTGGAATACTTACGTCATTGTGGTGAAATCCTCTAAGCTGTGGACAGACAGGTTGGTACGACCTCCGCGAGTGAGCCACAGATCGCGTATCACAGGTGGTGTATGATCCCGATATACAGTCAGCTCCACATCATCATACTTTTGCATGACATCGATGGCTCGTACGGTGACATTTAGCTTGTCACCATCCTCCCAGTCAACTGTCAGTGAAGTACTTTGGTCGTGAATATTGGGTTTGACGGTGGTGAGTACCTGCGAGTCTTTTAATGTCCCACTGTCTGTGTACACCGCGAATGATACCCAGAAGTCAACAATACCTGGAGGAAGTATAAATATAGACAATATTATACATACCTGTCAACATTCAGTTATAGTGGCGATCAATCGTGAATTTTGAACCAATTTCCAACATTAAGTTAAACATTGATCATTTTTTTTGTTACCTAAATTTTACAACAGCCTGTTCCTTTATGAATTCGGAAAGTATAGTGTAACATTTTTTGTGTTGAAATTGGGACTATATTCCTAATTTTGTGGTAATTTTGTGAAAATAAGGCACTTTTTAGCTCGGGAAACAGCCTGTATTCGGCAGTAAAACTGAGCAAAAGAAACACTGTAATGATGTATTGTGTATTTAGTCTATTACTCTGTTGTCCTGTTTTGTTAGCAATGAAGTTAACCCTTTACTTTGTACATGGTGTGCTGCTGTTGGTTCATTGTATCAACAGTACACCGTATAACCTAAGCATACCCACCATGTACATGGTGTGCTGCTGTTGGTTCATTGTATCAACAGTACACGTTATAACCTAAGCATACCCACCATGTACATGGTGTGCTGCTGTTGGTTCATTGTATCAACAGTACAC